ACGCGGGGTGATTCACCGACTTAAATTATCAGGCTGGTGGCCTTGAATGTAGCCTTGCTGCTCGTATTGTATTTCTTATGAGTCTTGGCATTCACGGATGAGTGTATAACTTTATAGAGATTGAGTTCTTCAGGTAATCATAATCAGACCATATTTTTACAATTTTGTATTCTGGCAGTACTGATATCCTATTTAACACATCTGTCTGTCCTAAATGATTTTCACCATCCACATTATATTTTATTTCGGTTATTGGAAATCTTATTTTATAAAATAGTCAGATGTAATGCTGTCACATGTAGGATTCATTTCAAGTCGGTAATTCCCAGGTTATTCTTGATCATTTGGTATAGAACAATATTTTAACTGGTCCGTCATTTTGTTATAATACACTTTGCATTCGTCTGGCTTTGTAACTGAGACTTTAACAAACTGGCCAGTGGCAGTGGCGGATCCAGGAACCAACAAGGGGGGGGGGGCCCAAAATTGAGAATATAGAAAAACCCTCCGCGCTTGCGCGGAAAAAAATTTTGGGCCCCTAAAACCAAAAAAGTGGGCCCAAATTTTGAAAATTTGAGGCCCATTTTCTTCCAAATTTGGCCTAAATTAAAAAAATAAGGCCTTAGAAGGCCCGATAATGACCAAAAGGCCCACTTTTTGGGGCCTTAAGGCCTTTTTTGGCCTAAAATTTTTTTGGGCCCAACTTCTTTTTTTTTTGGGCCAACCTTAGGGGGGGGGCCCGGGCCCCATGGGCCCCCCCCCCGGATCCGCCATAGAGTGGTCCACAAATCCTTTTAGCACGAGCTTCTATTGTTGGTTGCAGCTAATGGAATTGACTATTTGGGCTTCAGTTCATTTTTTTAAATGAAACTCCTTAGGAATTTTAACTTCACATTTATTCAAGCATTTCAGAAAATACACATCTGACGTGCACGGACCTGGAACAGCATCTATGGATTTAAATCTCATATTTCTTATTCAAGCATTTCAGAAAATAAGATCTCAGACCATACAAGGGAAAATGACGCGACCATGTTGGGAAAATGGCGCGACCATGTTGGAAAAATGACTCTACCTTAATCGGGAAAATGATGCGACCGTGTTGGGAAAATGAAGTGACCGTATCGGGAAAATGACGCGACCATGTTGGAAAAATGACGCGACCACGTTGGGAAAATGATGCGACCATATCTGGAAATGTCTGGGAATATGGAGACAAAGTGGGTGAAAATGACGCGACCATGTCGGGAAAACGACGCGACCATATCGGGGAAAATGATGTGACCGTGTCGAGAAATGACGTGACCGTGTCGAGAAATGACGTAAACATGTCTCACCTGGAGTATTGTGGATATTAATGAGAGGGGGCATAAATGATGCAATAGTTAAGTTTGTTTTATGGAATTAGTGATATCATGTACAGCAATTAAACCTTACCCCAACAAACAGACACCATGGGCAATACTGGAATAGATATAAACCTACAAACAAAATCTTAGTTGTTATGATTTTACACGAAAACACTCTCGACAACCGTAAACAATAAATTGTCAGTATGGAGTTGATGCTACGATTGATAAACCATCCAGACAAATCAATATATTTCATAAGTCATTATTAGTGTGAGATAGGAATTTGAAGGTATGAGGTAAAATGTTTGTCAGGGTATGAATCTTTAGCTTATGGTGTTTATATTGCAGCTATGCACTCCACACTTCCCATATTTTATCACTTACTCACAATCTTATTACATTCTATCTGCTACCCACCCTGCTCTATTATGTACAGTTACCTGATCATTCCATCGCTTTATTTTTGTTTTTTGAATAAAAGAGAGCTTCACCTGCTTACTGCACACTAGGCTCTAGTCCCAGTGAATTCCAAAATATAGTCTTGCCTCAAGCCCTCGTGACCCTCCTACACACCTCGACTCATGTAGGTGGGGTGGTCCATAGACTTGATGCAAGACTACCAAATTTTAAAACAATCAATAATCCTGATTCATTCAGGCAAGTGAACAGTAAAATAGAATTCAAATAAAGATATAATCAGAACCCAATGATAAATGTCATCAGATTTTGGTAATTAAAACCAGAAAAGCTAACATAGCTTTATCATAGACATCTTTAAAGTTGCTTTACAAGAAAAACAAAACAAAAGAATATGAATAATAATTTCGGTTGCTTGTAACAGGGTTTAAAAGGACAGTGCCTTTACTGATACAATACACATTATCAATAATCTTGAGAAATGGGTTTATCTCCCAAAAACAAACATGGTTTTATTACATCATCTTTGTTTTTGGAAATTAACCTAATTTTTCATTACATTATTATTATCAACATAATTGATAATGAGTATCATAAACGTACTATAACCTAATTAAACTTGATAATCGTAGATAATCTAAGGTGAAATATTGCATAACTGACTCAAAACATCGCTTTGTTTACAAACAATATTAGATGCATTACATAACTATTTCCTGGATGAAAAGGAATTGAGCAAACCAGAGATAAACATATTATTTTATTAAGTACACATCCAGCCACCCATGAACTTATTATTTTGAATCAAATACATAATAAAACTTGAAGAACGATAGATGGAATGTAAATAGATTTGTGCGATCTCAAAATAAATGACACTTTCAAATACTCCGACTTTCTGCCTAACAAGAAAAGAGTTTTTCTTTGGTAAACAAACAGCTAGGGGATGGGGAATCAATTCCCATGCCTATTATCCTATATAGGGGGGGGCAAAATTTCTTTCAAAATCATGCAGTTTTTCACCATTCTGACTGTTTTTTGAGTGATTTTTGGCCAAATTTGCCAAAGTGAACCCCTCCTAGAATTTTTTGGAAGAGTGAACCCCCTTGGGAAATTCTGGCTACCGGCCTGCTATATCTAATACATTAATCCTACATATGGTTCCAAGGTACCGTTTCCAATAATTTGAATTTGCTTTAAAAGAGAGCTTTATCTACCTAATTTACGAGGGTTGTTCAATAAGTACTGATACAAGTGCTTCCATTTTTCATGTGTCAGGGAATCAAGACAGAATCTTTAAGAATTGAAGGCAATATGTGTGTCCTTTACTGACCAAATATTATGAATTAATTCTAAGTTACAGCAAATTATATATGAATGATACCTGGAGCTGTTTTTATCCTTATCATAAGTTGCTAAAATATCTAAAACTCTATTTCAATGTATAGTATAAGGCCATTAATTTATGCTGTTTCTTAATATATCAGAGGCATATCTCACAACCGGGGTTCTATCAGACCATGAATTTTACTTTACTTTTTCTCCTCCGATTTTAAATCATTTCCTAGTATCTTTCGATCCACTACAAGAAGTGTCAGTCTTACAAAAATCCGCTAGAAAGATTTGAACTAATATAAAGTGACAAATGAAAAGTAAAAAGAGTTTGGAATACCCTCAACAATATATTCTACATTAATATTGATGTAACTTTAAAAGCACTTAGAAAATCATAATATTTGGTCACCATAAAGAAAATTTTATTTAGATTCCTTTCAAAAAATGAGACCATTTGTTTTAGTATTTATTGAATCACCCTCGTACTAGGCTCTGACACTGTGGGAAGATTAAGATTAAATCCTAAAATTAAATGTAAATAAATTAATGTGTTCAAAGTAACAATATAGTTCCTGAAGCATAACTCGGTATACCAATCTGTCAATCAACTAGCCAGAAGTACATTACAAGAAAAGTGTACAAAGTTAAGTCTGTTGTCCTCTTATTATGACATCATGATTACCATGGTTACAACAAAGGAGACTGTCATGGTAATGTACCCTTGTATATGTCCATCAGAGGGAGTCACATTTGGTACAGTTTTAATTATATTTATAAAGGTGTCTGATAAAGTACTGGGCTACACATGGCCACCAGGTAGTATAGCAGTGATATAAGATTAGATATCTAAAAACACAGTAAGTGATATGATAACATACCACCAGATTTCTCCCTTACTTCTAAACAAAATCTTGCAACTTAAAAAATATATAATAACATTTTTGTAGGATTGTGCAATACTGTTAGCAATTACCTTAATAATGGAGGTTGGTATACAAAAACTGGAAAACTTTGCATTTATGTACAATGAATTCATAAATCGGATAAGAGCACGTGCGATGAATCTCATCCTGAATTTAGGTTAAGTAATTAATTGTGATGTAGGGAAAACATTTGAGCATATTTAGCCACATCCTTCCCTATCTTCTCTCAAGTGGGGGCCTCACTTGACTGTGCGAGACCTCCAAGGCAATTAATGAGTACGGCTTAACTACTACCTTATGGCTTGGCCTTGAAACTAACAGTAACACACCGTGATGGAATACACATATTAATATTACATTAAACATTAATAAATATTGGCATCTAAAATATTCAGAATTAAATTCTTGAGAAAGTAGAGATTTTGTCACTTCGATTCGTTATAGCAATTCCCAAATAATTTGCTGTTGAATGCATGTGTACCATCAATGCTTTGGTTCATTTCTATCAGAGACATTTTATGTCTCTGTTTCTGATCACAAGGTATGATATCTTTTATGCAACAACTTATTATTTGGTGAAACCATTGAATTAAAAACATTCTATTAACAATACATTTTCATAGTTCGCTTCACACATTTTCCCCAAACAGACAAAACAATACATAACCTTCAAACAGAATTATGCACAATACATTAAATATGAACCGGAAAATTTATAGACAATGTATCTGGAAGATGATAGCACACTTAAAAACATTCCAAATGATAGCAGCTGGCAAGGCTGATCCATCATATGTCTACCAATAAATATTTCAAAAGACAAAACAGAATAGTTAATTATATAAATGGCTTTCTACTTTAATTGTAAGGTAAAATCATTTGATATTTTCTGCTGACAAAAGATGGCATTGTCAATGTTCTGTAAAGGAAGAATTACCAGGAAACAAGATCAATGAATTAATGAATTCTGTAGATGTATTTTGTATGAATGGCTCGACAAAGCACCCTGTGACTTCTTTGTGCAAGGAATGGTCAATACCTAATGCTTCCTAACAGGCTAACAATTGATCTTTTTTTGCTCTCAGAACACAAACACAGAGACAAACAATGATAAGCTTTGGGTGAAATCTGCAACGCCTACAGACTCTTTATTGTATTAATTTTCACACAAGCCTGTTGGTTTTAATTGAATTGGATATTTATATTGATTAAACATAACTCTTTCAATTCTAATGTCCACAATTAAATCAACAATAAATAACAATATACACATACAGAACTTTTCCCCATCAGGATGACACTGTTGTGCAAAAATCTTAACTAAAATCACCTAAGTTGAGATTGGTCAGGAAGAGACTGCTGCATGAATTTTTCCCTGGAGATATTGTACTCTGCTTAAAGTAGTGGTCAGCTTGCTGTATTCAAAAAAGGGAACCTGAAAATAAAAATAAATTCAAATAATCTTTTATTGCAATTTGAAAAGTTATTCCATTTTGTTGAGGTGAATACACATTCATTTTTCATTTGATATATTTTTGAGGAATATGCAAAATGTACAAAAATGTATCCAATCGTTTAAGAAAACAAAGGACTGGACTCAACTCCATAAATCAATCAATAAAACAAGCCCTTGACATGCAGGAATTGAGCTTGGGAGGTACTTGGCGTCAATGTCCTCAAATAAGAGAATAGGTAATCAATCTAAATAAGAACTTGTTGAAGATGATAAAATGAATGGAAAAATAGTTACTTGTGTTGTTTGGCATTATCCTTCAGGAAATATGTGCCATTTTTTTTATTTTCATTGTCTCCAAGAATGTAAATGAGAACTAAAATCTCAATGAAAAAAATATCTGAGAGGGGAGTTAACTGTAAAAATAGCATCTTGATATGAACTGCTACTAGGCAATGTCTATTTGAATAATAATATGGTTATGGTCATAACTGCCAGTGAGACATCTATAATTGAATCTAAAACATATTAAGACATTACGGATCTTACATAACAGTCAAGTGTAGGAAATATGGATACCCATGATTGTAAGAATGTTTACTGAAGGACACATAACCTTTTTGGTAAAAGCATTTAATTGATTTAATCAATATTTTGATTGTGATTTATATCATTTCAATACAACCCGATACAGTTTCACATGAATTGAAAGTTTCATTGAAGAAACTTGATTTATGTTAAACCTTAAACCAATTCATTTAAAATTCATATTTAATTTATTATACCATCAACTTGTATTTGAGTTATCAAATATTACAGTTTTTCACAAAATATGGACAGAAAAGCCATATTGAAAATTCTTTCTTGAACAGAGGTTAAATTCTGAAGCACCCTAGCCTATTAAATATCGACCAAATGACAATCATTTTGAATTCAGCAGTTATCATGAAAAAACTTTATTGAGCAGAGGTTATAGTATCCTAAGGCATTTGAACCAAATCCTTCAACTGGTATTTGGGTTATCAATGATTACATTATTACTCAATATGGTGGCCATTTTAAATTGAGTGGCCATGTTAAAAATTCCTTCTTGATTGAATGACCAGCCTGCAAAATTTGAACCAAATCCATCAATTGGTATTTTAGTTATCACCCATAGAGACAGACAAACAGACAGATGGCTTCTCTATCCTCCCAGACTATGTTCCATGGGATAAATCATGCATTTTCAAATCCCTTCGTAACACGAAGATGCACACCCTCAATGTTTGATGGTTCATATAATCAATTACATACCTCAACCATAGTGTAGCCCTCATTGGTGAGCTGTCTGATAGACAAGGCATTGAGACCATTTGGCACAACCACCTTCAACGTCATATCACTGAAGTCAAGAACTTTAACAGCTAGCCTAAAACAAAAACTCAGAATAAATATGTAGCCTAATTCAATATATTTTGTTAGTGATTTAGAGTTTTCAGTATATTAGGATTGTCAATTTTTTTAAATGCTTTAAAAATTGGTTTGACTTGATAATATCAAATTTTGTGTTTTCAATAATCTAGGATATTGGGGACTTCCTAGGTTTGGCAAATTTTAGCAAAATCCCATCAAATACAACAAGATAATGATGTAAACCATAAGTGATAAAAGCAGGAAGTTCACCTCAAGACTTCCATAAAAACAATACCAGCAACGTTAACTTGTAAATCAATTGCACAAATACCTCAAATATTCAATATTCTCATACTTACCTAAACACATTCTGACCCTCTTGCATTGCTTGGTCTTGGTCCCCTTGTATTGATGACTCATGATCTTCCAGCTTCAGAGGGCGACCTTCACTATCTACTATCAACTCAATGTCTGAAATAGTATTTTACGTTGCATGATATAAGCTATTTATGACAGTGGCGCTTTTTAGAATTTCACATTTTTATATAAAAAATTCATTTTTGCCATCAAGTTAACATAACGTGTGAAAAAAATTCTGACCTGTTTTTCGCACATTAAAACTTCACTCCACAAGAAGTTTCAGATGACTAGCTCATCTCAATGCACATTTATGAGAGTTACAAAATGTGTCATCTATTCCTTTTCTGGCACAACTGGATCTTACACTAAAAATGATACCCACCTTTTGTAACATAATTAATAATGGAAATAAGTTACAATGATTTTATCAATGACAACTACATTATTTTGTGTTTAATTGAATGGACTTCATTTCCCTGAAAGAATTAGCCCAAATCATTAGTATTTACAAAGTTATGTTGATAAAGCTGGGTGGCATTTTTTGTAGTAGAATCCATGTTTGTCTACAAAGGAATGGACGACATTTAGAGCAAATGTTGTAACACTCATAAAATTTGACCCACTTGAAAAACCAAAGGATGACAGTATATGTCTATAGACAAACAAGTTATGCAACATAAAGTGGGTGTCACCCTGTATTACATGAAACTGGGCTGATACTATTTGCATGCATCACTATGGTTTACCTATATGATAGCCTCTAGAGCTAGAAGTGTTCCAATTGAAGTACTTCTCACTGGGCACAATGTGCCTCAGATCAGACAGGACAAACAACGCCAGGTTGGAAGGACGAGCTTTACTCTGAAATTGTTAGAATAAAACATGTAAATTAGAGTACCGTGTGCATGTAAATAATGAGTTTCAAAACTAGTAAATGAACTAACAAAAACAGTTAATTTACATGGAGCAAATAATGACTTCTTGGTAGTGGTTCAGAAATATTCATGGATATGCCCAGGGGTTTCACTCAAATATACCTCTTAATACCTACATGCCACACCAAATAGACCCTCTTTTTAAGCATCCCAATCCCCTTTCAATATGCAACTATATAGAACATGTTGCTTTCATATTACAAAATACAAGAACAACATTAATATCTGCTGAGCATTTTACACTTCAAAATGCAATTCCATTCAACATTAAATTACTCCTAGTAAACTGCATGAAATCTGCTTTAGTAATAGAAGACATTGTTTTACCTGGCTATGAGAGTTGTTGATGTTGTTATTGTCTTTGAGGTAAGGTCCCTCATAGTCGGTCAATTCACCCATGGCACAATTATTGACATCCTTTAACTTGCTTTGTATAGTCATTAATTTAACAACATCATGCTCTGAAATAAGAATTGATTCAATCGTAAGAATGACAAATTCAGTCTAGTTGAATTCCTCACGTTGAACTGCATATTCATAGCTAAGGTGAAATATGTAAATTGGCATTTCATATTGTTAAATACATACCTTGTAGTAGGGCGTGAAACTCCTTGTCAAGAACAGTTGAGGCAGTAATGGCATTTGCCTTCTCCAGAACACACAGCGACCAGACAACATCTAACCAAAGCTTAGGCTGCTCATGTCGTATATGCTCAACTCTATTCAACAAAGACCCAAGGTTATCATCAACAGCAGAAGGCATGTAATTCACAGCTCCGCACGTTACAATCATTGCAGCAATCTCATTGGCAGTTCCCTCAGGCATCGAGATTTGTTTCCCGAGCAATTCTAACAATTCAACATGTCGCCATTTTAGCAACCCAAGTGAAACAATAATTGAAGTACGTACTTTGCTTGTTGAGATGTCGGTATACAGTAATTTTTCTGATATTTTATCTAGCAGTGTTTCATCATATATTGAGAGTCTACAACATGAGTAGAGTAGATTCATGATCTGGACATCACTTAGGGGTAGTGTGTTGTTATTCAGGTGATACACAATGCTTCGTTTCAATGATGCATTTCTCCTTCCGCTCTTGGCCTGCTGATAGAGGACTCTGTAGAGGTCTAAACTAGACATTCGCTCAATAAGATCTAAAGCACGGAGTTCCAATTTTTCGTAAATATCACTTCCTGTTGAATTTCCATTAAATTGCCTCTGCGCAAAGTACATGAAAGAAACAATGTCTTTTGGATTCGATATATCAAGCCATCTCTTATCCAGCCAGCTAATTGCATCAGCGTTTAGTTTTTTCTGTCGAGAATTCTTCTCTTTGAGCTCATACATTGTCAAAACTTTGAGGAGGTGTCGCATTGGCATATTCTTCATTACAAATGTCACTTGTGTTTCTAAGGACTCAATAATGAAATCCTCAGACTCAACAAGAGCTAACAAGGACTCTAGATTCCGCAACAAATCAACAGTTTCCATATGTATTGCCTTTGAATGTAAAACTTTCTTAATCTCGACAAAATAGGGATCATTTGTCAAGTAGCGTCCAACTTGGATTTTGAACTCATTAACAGAGTTCAACTCAGCTAATTTTTGAAGGAAGAGCGTTATAACGGGAACTGAGAGATTTGACAGAGCTGGTGTAACCAGGGAGGAAACATCCTTAGCTTGTGTGATACGTCTATGTGACTCTGCATCAATAACACCTGACTTTGCCTCTGTTGCGATTGTATGTAAGTATCTTGATTTTATTTCACAATTCAACCTTCTGTGTATAATTGGTGCCCGAACAGTACAGTTTCTCATCAGGTTGATGCCCCATTTTAAAGGACGTCCTGCAATGATGGTGAATGACATCCTGCAAAACACAAAGGGTAAGTAATATATGAGGTGATATCACCACCAATTGATCTATGATGCTTAGAGCTTGTCGAATATTAAAACATTGTATCAAGAAGAAAACTGGATGGTGGATGCTATTGCCTACCTCATCAATCTTCAGTTGAACTAATTACCCGGTAATTGGAATTGATTTGGAACAATTTATGAGATTTTGGAGATAATGGTCCTAAATCTTTAGATTGTGATTCAATTGTCAAATCAGGTTCAATCAATGTCAATCACATTTTATATTAACATTTTTTTTAGTTTAGTTTAGACTCTAGATGTATTTCAATGTATTTTTTCGTCAATCAAATCTAGAAATTAAGATTTTGTTTGTACAGGGTGTCCAAGAAGTAACGTCAATGACCCTGGCATTTTGTCATTTATGCTTCAAATGTCATGAAACTTGGTCTAGACAGGTTCCAATTCTAATAATTCAAGTTTTTGAGGCATTTTTAGAAAAAGCAACAGACCTATTTTCACTCGATCAATGTTTCATGCTGATAAAGATATTAAAAGATGACAGCTCAACGGGGTGGTCACGACACTGAATTTTGGCATTTTTACCCCCCTAGGAAAATATTTTAGGGGGTACTATGAAACTAGTTCATAACTCAAAGGATATATGAGCTATTGTTCTGAGTTGTACACCATACATTGCTAGTACAAATATGAATACTATCCTAAAGTTATAGGTTGATACCCTTATTGGTCTCAGAAAAGATACAATAAACAGGAAAAAGATACGCAATTTTTGTCTTGCCAATTTTATATTTGTAGCTTCAAGCAAAATATGACAGCTTTAAACAGCTCATAGTAGTATTCTAAAAACATTTCCAAGCTATGTGCGGTATTGTAATACATCTATTTTAGTTATGAAGTACTATTTTGTAATTTTAATATGACTTTATAGTGCCCTACCTCTGGAAAATTGAAGAAAGTGGATGTGGTGAATTTTATCGTTTTGCAGCATTAAGTTAGAAACATGTATTGATAGACACCAAATCAATAAATTCATACCATCATCAAATGTTAGGTGACATTCTAATTCATTTATTACTAGAATATAGGACTTAAGATATTTTATATGTAAGTTTTCAATTTAGTACATGTATCATAATGAAATCTAGTGTGATCACATACTAGAGAGGACATTGACATAAAGTCTAAACATTATAATCATCAATTGATCTCATTTGAGCAACTAGACTATGGTGGTCATCATGCACAAGTAATGTACTTCAGTGCCCCATGTACTAGGGCACGAGTCATTTGAGCCATATATACCTCCTTTACAACCCATTCAGAAGGGTCATTTACAATGTGCAAAACATGGCAAAAGTTCCGTAAAACTGTTAGTTCTCATTATCTGACCATATAGCAGAGTCCTCATTAAGCCATGATGCATCACAGCCATATGTTAGAAAAGTAGCTAAGAATCTTTTTTATTAACCAAAGATGACTTTCCCACTGATGGTGCCTCACACTTGTATAACTTAGTGTAACTTATTTATTATTATTTGGGAGAATTTGAACATTTCCCCCTTTTTACACTTTGAATTTTAAACAACATTACCAATAAATAATTTATATTGTGGATCTTTTGGGAGATATTATATTTGAGATTGTACTTTCAATTGCTTTCAATTTTGTTTACATAGATCTGATTCTGCATTTAAATACCAAGACGTCAGTTTACTTCAACTGTCATGACTAAAGCATTTGATAGTATTTACATAATAATGTTATAAAGGAGCATGTAGGTTATCGCAAACAACTTCAGAAAATGGTCCTTTTTCCATATAGCTTTGAAATCTCGTTAAGGTCTTGTTTTTAATGAGATTTTAGGAGATCAGCATTTTTAACCATTAAAAACTAACGTTTTCTTCCATCTGATGGCATATTTGAATTCTGTGAGTAATTCTCTATCAAAACAACTTTGATTTGCACTGTTATTTACCATTATTCAAATTCTAATGATTTTCTGGTTGTCTAAAAAAGGTCGGGCTAAATCCCCATTGACAAAATGCTGAAAAACCTTCCATTGACAAAATGCTGAAAAACCTTTAAAAGTTCATTTACTCTTACAAGGATCACAATTTTAATGTGAAATCACAATCCACATGTCAATAAGATCATATAGTTACATTCCAATGATGTTTTAAGTTGATCCAAATGGAATAACTTCTTGATGCCATCTATTTTCCATTTATATAAAAAAGGTCAATTCTAACTTGAATTATGAATATTTTCTGACCATGAACATTGGTATATCTTTTAGATCTATTCATTATCTTCAAGAAGAGTAAATATAATGATTAATCAGACCTGAGTGATATTAAAGGGAATGGCCCAATCAACATACTTTTTAGTAAAAATGATGACCTAGTTTTTACCAAAGATGCAACCTTTAATTATATTGTTGGATGCATAATTAAAATATGCTTTGAGACATGTTATATTTCCTAAGAGGAAAAGTGGATTGCTCCAGGGACTTTAAAAGACACTGAATTTGGATGACCAAAATGAACTGAAACCAATGGACAGCATGAATTTTTTCAAAGGGGAAATAACATGGGGAACACTAATCTTAGGGGAATTCAGTTTCTTTTCAAGAGCTATTTGATACATTAAAATAAAGAATAGTAATGCATCAAACATTGTTAAAATGATTCCATTTTTGGTGAAAATGAGGTCAACAACTTTAAAAAAATATATTGATGGGTTGATTGCTAGTGAAATATCTACGAGTCCAATTGACTTTATTATCAAATTAAATATGCGCATGTCAAATTTGGCCGACGAACACTGATTGGGGCGGTGAGTTCACAGGTTTATTTTAGTTTGAAAGAGTGAAGACGAAGCTCTTTTTTAAGAAGTGAAGTCAAACGAATGCAAAGGGTAACCAAATTTTTGACATGTCTTCAAATACAATAGTATTTTCTTCATAAGATAGAGTGTCACTTATTGATTGACCTGAGATCGTATCATATCTTTATGACATAGAAGCGAAATAGCCATATTGATCTTTAATGAATGTTGTTTGCTACTTTTCGACAATTTAGTCAAAATTTGGGGGTTTGGGGAAGGGGTGCAATTAGGTTAAAAACGTGATTAACCTGATTCAGACTATCCTTAAATGAGCACTGAGTCATCCGAGAGCATAACTTTTCCAAAACATGTTAGTGTTATTTTTGGACCACTCACATTAATATTTCGTCTAATTTTCCCTCAGAGTTTCCTCATCATTGTCCAAATCTTTGGCCATATTTGTTGAGATATATGAATGTTCATTATTAAAATCTTGCCTTCCTTTGCAGTTGGAGAAGACTCGGTATTAGGTGTTATAAGTCCCAGACCACGATAAATAAAAAAACAAAAAAAACAAAATGACATAGAACTGATAAACATTTTCTCTTGTGCGTGTCAGCCATGGTCTACCAAATTAATTGCTATTCGGTGGGAAGAAACTCATTTTTCAGTTTCCATTTTAATTTCCTGACAAATAGAGCGATCATCCCAGCATTTTTTCTATGATCTATGTGTCGCCATAGCAACTTCTGTTTTAGAGAACAATAAAACAATAGAAAAGATTACTTTACCATAATTCTAATCATCCTACATTGTAGACATATTTAGAATTAAAAATATGAAGAGAATGACAAAACCTCTTAAAACACATTTCTTAGGAAACAAATAGTGTGGTATTCTTGTTACTATGGCAACAGAGTTTTTTCTTTTTGTCATACAGATTACCTATCATACCAGGACCAAATCCTGAAAATTTGAATTCAGTATCTTCATTAGTATCTTAGATATATAGGTTTCTTATAGTATCCCCTGCAGATTTCATCGGAGTATAAGGAAAATGCTCTGAAGAGGGATGCCCAAGAATGCCACTTAACAGTTCTGGTATTTTTGAGGTCCCAACCCTCTATTCATGGGAATAGTTAACCATTGTAAAGCTACTCATGGTAAACTGACAGAATTGATTGTATCTTCAACTAAGAAGTCAATAAAATGTTAAAACCAGAAGAAAACCACACCAACTTTCTTCTATTTACCAGGGGTAGGGCACTATAAAGTCATATTAAAATTACAAAATAGTACTTCATCACTATAATAGATGTATTACAATATCACACATAGCTTGGGAATGTTGTTAGAATACTACTTTGAGCTGTTAAAGTTATCATATTTTGCTTGAAGCTACAAATATAAAATAAGCAAGAAAAAATGACAAAAATTGCATATTTTTTTTCTAATAAATTGTATTTTTTCGAAACCAACAAAGATATCAACCTATAACTTAAGGATAGTATTCATCTCTGTACTAACAATGTATGCTGTAGAACTCAGAACAATAGTTTATATATCCTTTGAGTTATGAACTAATATTATAGTACCCCCTAAGATAATCTCCTAGGGGGGTAAAAACGCTAAAATTCAGTGTCGTGACCACCTCGTTGAGCTGTCATCTTTTAATATCTTTATCAGCATGAAAAACTGATCCAGAAAAAATAGGTCTGTTGCTTTTTCTAAAAAATGCCTCATAAACTTTTTCCCTTGAGATATTCTGAAATTGGAACCTGTCTAGTCAGAATGTTCCTTGTACATTTATAAATATAAATATGAAGTATGGAGTTACTAGCATTTGATTGGCTGCTTTTATGGTTACCATAGTAACACAAGTGCATGGACCCCGGGGCAGCTCTGCAATCCGTAAGATCTTTGGAAAATAAAATAACCATAAACACTAGTTTTGAAGTGTACATCTTTTATTTATAATATGACCACAAATATAATGTTTTCAACTACACATCATTCATTCCTAATATAGCTGTTGCTGGCGTTATATTAGTGTTATATTAAAATTTATTGAATGTTACTCTACATAATCACCACCAAGTTCCACACATCTCTGGTGTCTTCTTACCCACTCCAAGAAAACTCTATTGAAACCACCAGAGCTCATTTCTGCAAGGGATGACAGAACAGAGCTCTTAAGTTCCTCGTTTGAAGAGAAAGACTGTCCCGCAAGTTTAGCCTTCAGTGCACCATAAAGATAGAAGTCACTAGGGGCCAAATCAGGCGAATATGGAGCTTGTTCAAGTAGGGGTATTCCTAGTATCTCAATTACTTCCATGGTGTTCCTGGCCTTGTGAACGGGGGCATTGTCCCAGTGCAGTGAAAGGCGCAATCCATGTCCAAGAGACAGAAAACATATTATGATGTCATAAAGTACTCCAAAGAAGTGTTACCATGGTAACTCCCAATAAACAATAAAACTGTTAAGATTTGAAAAAGTCCCAAGACATTGCATTTCATTTTTGCCAAAGGTTTTACCTTATAATAACCTGATTTACATAATATTTACCAGGTACATTCTGAACTGCCTCGGGGTCCATGCACTTGTGTTACTATGGCAACCATAAAATCGGCCAATCAAATGCCAGTCACTCCATACTTCGTATTGATATGTATAAATGTACAAGGAACATTCTGACCAAGTTTCATGACATTTGAAGCAAAAATGACAAAATGCCAGGGTCATTGACGTTACTTCTTGGACACCCTGTAAATGCCACTGTCACTTACCTTCCAGGATTTACTAAAAGCTCACAGATATAACAGTTACTTTGTTTGGTCAATCACGAGGCATAAGCACACTATCCAAGAGAAATTAAATTAAGTGTCAAAATGAATTATTTCCTCATAAGTTCAGGATATTTAATATTTTGATACGAAAAATTACCGAATACATGTGAAACTCGATTCTTGGTTCATTGATTTTATATTCCGTGGGTCTGTGAAATATGAATCTTCAATATTTTGGTCCCAATAAAATTAGTGCATCAGCAAAACATTCCTCAGTATTTATTTATTTATGTGTGTTTTGGAATTTTTGGTGAGGTAATAAGACCAAAACTCGCAATTCAAATTGTGATGTGGAAAAATGGTGGGCATATGATTTCAAATTTTATGATTACGACATGACCAGTTGTTCATGCAGGAATATATCTTTCATGGAAGGCCACGATACAGTGGCCTTAGAAGAAGGTAAATCTCTATACCTGATTGAATGCCGTATAGTTACTCACGTCGAGAGCTACCATGTTAGATTTTGAAAGTATAGCTCTCTATCGCTAGAATCAACAGCTTAAGAGTCACAATTCTTCAGCTGGGAGATCCTCACGATGGAGAGCTATACTTTCAAAATCTAAGTAGCTCTCGACGGGAGTAACCGTATAGGATTTACAGGCGTCCGATTGAATGGCCTCTTGAAAATTCTCTAATTTTTACATGGGGAATCCTCAAAGGTGGTGAACTGGCTCTTTTAAATATTTCATTTGTAAATATGGTATAAATGGTTTAACGTTGCACAGTTTAATTCAAAAATCACATATAAATGAGTGGTAAGTGAAAGGTAATAGCAAAGATAACTGAGCGAATATAAATATTACCTTCATGTGGGCGATAATAGAGAGTATCTAAAAACTTTGATAATTTTGTTTCGTATTATGATTTTGTGTGTATATTTGACGCTACTTCGTGCTTATTAATTGTATAAGTGAGCAAGAAATGTTGCAAGAAAGCATATAAATTTAAGTTTGTAAGAAGGAGCTAAATGGAGAAACCTTTGGATAAAACACCAAAATAATAGTACGAAACAATTGGTCAGAAAAAATAGCGCCAAGCTTGAAAAACAAAATATTTTCAGAAGGTAACATTTTTATTATCTTTCCTTTATAAAAGTACATTATGCAGCAAATAATTCTTTTTTCATAACACAGATCCGGAGCCAGATCCAGCCCCTATTGGCAGTAGGCTCAAAGGATAAATGGGAAGATAAGACACAAGTCAAAAATGCTACATCAAAAAAATTTACTTCGGTCCAAAGCCTTCTCTATATTCCGGCTTTGAGGAGGAAGATTGAGCTGCCTTAGTATTATAAATATTGTAAATATGGCATAATAATATGAAATATACCTTTATGTATAGATTTGAAAAACACCAGCTCACATCCCCGTCTGAATCTATTGTTATATTTGATTTCTTTAAGCGAGAATAATTTCAAATGTTATTCACGTCCAGAACCGGAAGCCATTTTAGCTACAGCGAGAAAATTTCACCATGTGTTGAAACTCCGAAATGAAATTTTGAAATATCTAAATCCAGACAAGCAACGCTTCATCCTAAATATGATTAATATTCTTAAAAATATTTATAAAATTTATAATGAGTTCTGAATGAGTTCTAGGTGCGTGTAGGTGCGTGTAGCACAGTACATACGAAATCAATGAAGTTTCGTCTAGCTGTAAGCTAGAGACTCGAGTAAAAAAAAATGACCACCCAAAAATATGACCCTCGTACTGACCTTTATTTTTTCCATCTGTCAGACATTGATTGATCAATATTTACCATGTAATCTCTTCTTGAGGTACATGTTTTAGTTTGAATGGTTGCATGATATCAATTATTGACGCTGTAAATCGAATATTTTTCCCGGGACATTTTTTCAAATAATTTTTCAGATTGAAGATAATGGAGTGTTTCAGTAATTTCCAGCAATGTCCGATGTTGTTTGTCTCTCAAATTACGTGACATCGCAACAAACAGCGAATGAAAGTAAAGATCGCCTAACAATCCGTTGGTATTGTTTCTGCAGGATTTTAAAGATATGTCATGGGGTTTCTCGTAATCTTTGATGTGACGTCATCCGGAGTTGCGTCATATTCTCAGAAAAGACATTTGACTTCGGGAATAAACATTTGAACAACGGAAATAGCCGAAGCACTCCATTAAATATACGCTCGCTTATTTTATGCTTTTATCAACAGACGCTTTCTTGAATGTGTGGCTTTAGTGAATGGAGATGAAGCTAACAACAGTACGCATCGTTTGACGTATGACATGTGATATTTATTGATAAACTGACTCCAAAATCAAGGAAATATGAATTTTCCGAAGATTTCGTGTCTTGTCCTTGAGTATATTTATTGCTTCCTAGTCAACTCGTACCCAAGACAACTCGTACCCAAGTTTATTTTCAGTATTATGGGTGCATATTAGGGAAAAAATTGAGTTTGTAATGCTGCAAATAACGATGTACACAGATGAGCCCAGATGATGTGTTGCATGACAAAACGATGGACAAGTGTCGCCCCATGGTCATCTCAGTGAGAATTTTGCATGAGGAAAACAGCGACCATTGTACATAGTTTTCATAGATGTTACAACCTGGGCACCCCCTCGAAAAAAAACAGCACCTTCAGTATCCTAAAACATCCTGCACTCTGCATATTACTAAATTCATTCCCAAAAATGTAGAAATTGGCTGAAAAACTCATGAGTTGACAATTTGTTGTCGGGAGCCATTTTTTGTGCTAATTAGATATGTGAGGATGCGCAGATATAATGTAGAGATGAGGGAGTGGAAGGTATTGTTCATTTTATATCTAATTCAGCTAGTACAATAAAAATAAGAATATTTTTTGCAAACCAATGCGACACATAACAGTCGTTTTTCAAAGCGACACTTGAATGGATTACCACTGACTGATCAAGGAGGATTGGATCCCAGGGTTCCAACTTTTAATATTTTAATTCCAATATTTTAATCTCCAAGCAATTTGTTCAGTGCTACCCCTAGTTACTGATTCTCTTATCTGAATTTGAAATTCAGCTACAAATCTGTGAATGTTATATTTACAAAATTCATTACATCTTACTTCTAAAACATGTTCGGGGGTTTCATTAGTAGCAGGCATCAGGCAATTTTTAGCTGTTGTTTTCACAAAATAGTCTGTTGTTTTTAGGGACTTTTCAAATTTTCCACGTTAAATTTATGAATTCCATTAATTGCCAGTTTTCATTTATTTAGCCTGTTGTGAGAAATTCTAGTGAAACCCCTGCATGTTAATTATAAGGTTACATTGGTATAACATAAAATCCAAGTTAAAAGATAAATTCTGAGGTTTCCTTAGCCTGATCCCCATCACGGACATATCTTCCGATCCCCACATCCGGTGATCAAAACAAAATGGATGGAAGGGAGTACTGGAGCAGGCGATTTCTGCAAGATCGATAGATTTATTTTCAAGATAAAGTTTACAATTGAATTATTGGTGGCAAAGCGCCTTTTTTATTTCTCATATCTTAGAAGCATATCGCTTCAAAACAAATCCTATAATTTAACATATTTTACCATACCGTGTGCCTATTCAATTTGCAATTCAATTGTAAACATTCTCTTGAAAAAATAAATCTTCCAGATTTGTTGAATTTGTTGAAATCGCCTACTCCCTCCTCCATTTTCTTGTCCGATCACCAGGCGTGAACCCTATACATTTATAGAACTGTAAAGTATTATTATAGTAATTGATTTAATTGTATGTAATTGTACTTTATATCATTAGACAAAACATTGAGATGGAAAGTTATGAATCATTAATTTTGCCCCTTATACAATATGCTGGAGGTATTTATACTGTACCTTATTTTTATCTACATGTACTTCGATATTTTGTTTTTTCAGTATCAGGATGACTCCCAAAAGAGATCTTTGTCTAGAGGCATGTGGGAGCAGAAATAGTGATGTATTTTTGGAGTTCATACATACCCATATAGTGAGTATTCTAAATATTTTATACTTTATATATCTTATATACAGATATTTTATAGCCTTTTATTTACAATTTTACAAAGTATGAAAACTATGCAGTACTAGTTATCCCAAAGAACAAAGTTCAGTGGGGATATAGTGAAGCCCTCTTGTCCGTCCGTTCATCCATCAGTCAGCCTGAATGCTCAGAAAACAACTCGAATACTAGATGAATACCAGTAAATAGTTTCACTCAGAAATTTTTTTCAAGATGTCCACCAAAAATCTAAGTTTTTCATATCTCACAAAAATTAATGAGTATTTCTGTTTCGGGCTGCGTAGGGGATCAGGAAATTAAGAATTTTTGTTTATTTTGAGATCTCTCTGAAATATAGCTTTATTATTATACTTAAATGAAAAGCAATCTAGAGTAGGTTTCAAATATTATATTGTTTTTCTGATTCAGGCCTCAGAAAGTTCAAAAATTTACTGATTTGTGTCTCAGGAAATTTAAAATGTGATTTCACCAATGTCTGTGTTAACCATTGATAGAGCATATCGTAAGTATTGTGTGTGACACATACAGATTCATGAATGTTCGTTGTGACTATTTCGTGGAGTTGCAGATTTCAAGTTATATATGTGTTAATTAGATTTAGTGGCTTATAACTAATAAATAAGTATTAAATATGAAGTCATATGTGTAGCTTAATAGCTATGTGGTAATTGCCTTGCCAAAAGAGGTACATGTATATTTAGGATATTGCAGCAGATTTCAGGTTAAATCAAACATCAATGTTACAATGTCAGTCTTTTTCTCATTTTACGGGCTAATTATTTCACATTAAAGGCCCACTATACTTAATTTAGAAGAAAAAAGAAAAAAAATTATTATTGAAACATATTACTCACACACTCGCTCAAATATGAAACAAAGTTTGATTTGCTTTAATATTGAACAAAGAAAAAATAACTCACATAAAATAAAAAGCATTTGAAGTTCAGAGATCATTAGACATGCATGCACATGCTAAACAAAGTGCATGTTTTTAATTACTTTTGATTTAAAAGATGGCGACACATCTATAAAAATGAATGTATCATGTAATACAAACAACTTCGCCATCTTTAAATGATATTGATAAAAACTTGATATATAAAGCTTGACGGATCGAAAATATTTTTTGATTATTCATTATTTGGCGAGAAATACCTAGTTGGTATATTCTGTATTTTTACACTCGAAGATAGAGCCAGAAACCCCTCCTTGGAGCCCTGTGTTCTTTTGTGTGCACATGTACACAGACATACAGGTACACACCACAGCCTTTTATACGAGTCATTAACCACTCAGTCAAACACCCAGAATTACATAACGCACAAACAAACTTGTCTGAACCGGGAATCGAACCATGGGCCAAGCGATATTGGTAACCTTGACTCTGCCACTGAGCCATAGCGGGTGGACTTTTAGAAAAGAAAAATGAATTAATTTATGTTCAAAATTGCTTTCTGTTTTTAAATGTTGCCCACTGTCTTGTGCTTCAACATTGCATTGTTAAAGTTTTATATTTCCATTTAGAAAAACAGGACAGTTGAGTTTCCAGAAAATATTTAACAGACTCTACTCAGGTGACACAGCTGAACAGATCAATTGTGCATGTTATGTGGTCTCTTATCTTGTAAAAACAGAAAAATGGTTGATTATTAAGAAATGTATTGTTTCTTGCTCAAAGTAGATAAATAAATAACAATTTATAAATCTCCTGTTTATCTTTTGACAATTTGCCTCATATTACAACCAGTGTCATTTCATTGGTTTTTGTTACAGTTAAATGTAATGACACAATGTACTGAAATATTACATGCATTGAAAACATTCAAATATAACACATTCTCTTGACATTATCACTGGTTGTCTTTTCTGTTGACGAGGTGTTCTATGTCTTGCTTTTCAAACAATATTCCCTAATTCACCTATGTATCATCATATTCTATCTACAGAGCAGCAAGACTGATGTTGTAGACATTGAGGAGATGGTCGCGACATTAAGTGTTCAACAGTTGAATGACATGTGGCAAGATTTAAAACATTTAACAACCAATCAGCTGCTAGAATGGGCTGACATTGAACTTGATGAACACATGGTAAGTGATGCTAAACACATTGATTGAATCAATTTTGAGATCCTAAAGCAATTATAAAATAGATGTACATTTTGCACATCTACAGTATTCATGTATTTTTTATATTTGGATTGAGTAGGAAAAATCTGCCTACGTTTAAAATCTATGTTGAAATCATATAATTATTATCATAGCTTGTTTTTTAAGATCAATACGTATCGTGTAACTGATATGAAAATAAAAAATATTGAGTTTTGAAATATTTCCTGTTTGTGTACTGTAGGATCAAGAGAAGAAAGCGGAAGTACTTAATGGTGTTATAACACTAGCCTTGGCTAGTATTAGCCCTGAGGCTCCCAATGTGCCTCAGCCATTCTTTGAGACCGTTGCATTATTACATGGTAGGCCTTATTTCTTTCTCTTCAAGCTATATTGTATGTAAAATTGTAACACCATGTGAAATTAACATACACTGTCTAATCCTGTATTTATGTCACCACCACAAGTGGTGACAAATTGTAATGACTTTTTGTGGATGGTGTTTGGCAGTTGGTTGTCAATGGTTGATTTGTGTTCGGTGGTCAGTGTCTGCAACAAATGGCAGGTGGTGATATTTTGCATGTTAGTGCCTTGTTTCATTTTCCAAAATTGATTAACATTTCCAATTGGCCGTTGACCAATATGATTGCTCTTTGTAATTCTAGGTGTTTTGTTGACCTTACCAAGCCAGTTGGACAATGTGAAGACAGATATAGTTAAGCTGTGTGAAGTATGGTGGCATAGAGATCTTGAGGGCAAAGAAGACCTGGCTAATTCTACAATTATGTGCCTGTTGAAACAGAGTTTGCAACACAAGGCTCCTGTAAGTAAACTAAACTGTCATCTTTTTGGGGGTCTATCGACGTAAGATATAAAAAGTAGTTTTGTAGTTAGTTCAGTCTAACTACAAAAACTATTTTTGTATACGGTATTGTAAAAAATATATATAAGGGCCTGTAAGTAGAGGCTATTAGGGGTCCATATGTATAAACTATAAAACTATATGGTTTATTGTACCATGAGATTAATCAATTTTTATCACCTGTTTGACAAATATGTACGTACTTCCAAAGGACCCAATTGTTACAGAACAAACCAAAGTACACCAGTCATAAAGAAAACAAACGCCAATTATCCAAAACCATGATCTTACGTGAAAAGAAACAATGTCTAATACCCCCCCCCCACTTTCTCCACCATTCAAGTACCATAATCACAATTCAAGACCAGAACACCAAAGGAAATAATCTTAGCTTAAACAATCTTTATGCAAGGTCACAGATCACTAGATGGACTTACGAGTCAGAGTTTATACACTGAGGTAGTAACAGTGAAAGTTTATTAGAAATGTGCAATGTGATACCTAAGAAATAAGAGGTTTTATATATTTGTTTACTATGAAGCGTTCATATCTTTAACATCTCTATTGATTTGATCCATTGTATATCTATAAAGTTTATGTTGTTTCGACCTGGTATACATTGGAATCGAAGATAATATGATACTCCTAAGATGACGTTGTAATGTCAGATGTGAAGAACATCAATATTTATTGATTCTTTTGACTTCTTGTAAATATAATTGATTGATTTCTTATTGATATTGTCTTAAGTCATTTAATCAACAACATATAGAGGTTCTTGTATGAGTACCTTTGCAAGATCGTCCATTCTTGATGAGCTTTGATAATTCTTTATCGAGTCAAAGACGAGATAAAGAAATATTATCAAAGCTCATCAAGAATGGACAATCTCATATGACTCTCAAAATTATGCCATATTTTCACCTTTTTATGATAAAACTCAGTGAAAATAGCTTCAAATTAATGGAACTTTATCGTTCAATTGTTATGACGTCATAACACTCGCTTTGATAATGTTTCTATATCTCGTCTTCGACTCGATAAAGAAAAATTCTCAAAGCTCATCAAGAATGGACGATCTTGCACAGGTACTCATATAAGAACCTCTATATCTTGCATTGGTGAAAGATGGATGTATTTTTGTTAGTCATATACGAAACTTTAATCAACAAGATAACACTTGAGTTCATCTGATATTTGATGGCACCATGATAAGATACCAAGAAAGTTATTATCAGTTTTGGATTTATCTTTTTATTTTCTGTTACATTTTACATGCATTATTCTTTGGAATAACATGAATCACAGGCTGGTATCGAAAGATAAGTCCGCTGTGACGGAGCATGCTATTTTTCATAAAAACACTAAGAATGCTTCACGATTTATTTTTTAACTCATGTTTCGTTATATCAAAGATAATTACTTACTCCATGCAATGGATATATCATTTGCGTGTAACCTTCACTTCTGTTTAAAGTCCAATAACGCTAGGAGTAAAATCTATTGAAAACGGCGCCAGAGTATCAAACTCTAAAATGTACCATTTCTTTTTTAACTTTTTAATGGCATGATATAGTGACACGATAATATTAACATATGTTTTCAGCATAACTCTGAATGTATTAATGAGATATTAATGCATTGGGTCTTTTTAACTTTTTTATAAAAAATAATATTAATATTTTTTGTCCGCTGTGACGGAGCATTTTCACAGTTCACATTTGCAACTGCTCCGTCACAGCGGACAAAAAAATTAAGCATTATTTTTTATAAAAGAATTAAAAAGACCAAATACATCAACATCTCATTTATACCTTCATAGTTATGCTGAAACCATGTGTAAATATTATCGTGTCACTATATCGTGCCAATAGAAAGTTAAACAAGAAATGGTACATTTTGAAGTATGATACTCCGGCACCATTTTCAATAGCTTTTCTTCCCAGCGTAATTGAACTTCAAACAGAAGTGAAAGTTACCCGCAAATGATCTATCCATTGCATGGAGTAAGTAATTTTGTATGGTATAACGAAACATATGAGTTAAAAAAGAAATCGTGAAGTATTCTTAGTGTTTTTATGAAAAATAGCATGCTCCGTCACAGCGGACAAATATTTCGATACCAGCCTGTGTGAATACTATATTACCGTGACAGCTTTTATCAATTTGAACTCAGATTTTGAAATTCATTTGTAAAAATGACTCTATTTTTTATGTTGATGATTCAAACGATACAACATCATCTTTTTCTTTGTTAAAATAGCACAATGCTTTGATGTAGCCCCCTCTGATATTCTTGTTAATTAAGCCATACACAATACAATTGATAGCTGAGTTGCAAATACCAAAACGCACTACAAATCTTATGATGTGGAGAGATAGAGCACCACCATGGTCAGCAATAACTACTATGGCATATGGTGTCCAGAAAATGACAAATAATCCAGAAACAATGACAAAGGCGATAACCTGTCTTATGTTTCTGTCCGATTTCTTTTTGTCTGCATTTTTGTTGTGGGCTGCTACTGACTTCGCACTCGCTCGGATTTTCAGAAATGTTTTTGCGTAGCATACAAATGTTACAGCAATGGGTAGTCCCACTCCTATACTCATAAGAGCTAATGTGTATGATAGGCTATTGGTGTGATCATATGCGCATGAGGCTACCTTTGGAACATAGCTGATTCTACCCCATCCAAAGAATGTAGGTAGGACCCAAAGCATACAATATACCCATATGATTCCTATCATCAAACTTATGTTCAGTTTAGTGAAGACACGTTTCCCTAATGCAGTGTGACATATATGGAGATATCGATTCACAGCTAACAAAGCAAGTGTGTTGATTGAGACGCCACATAGCAAAGTGAGAAACATCCCAACTATATAACACAAAACTGTATTGTCGAAGAAATCATAACCATAGTAAACATTCACCATCAGTATGGGTGTGTTAAATGATGTAATAATTAAGTCACCGATTGCAACATTTACAATGAACATATTGGCAGTGGTACGCAATGACTTATCGGCAAGAAATGCAGCAAGTATTAGCAAGTTGCCAAATGTTCCTCCAATTGATATTGTTCCTAAAACGACTAAGTCCAGCACTTCCATTGCGTCCATCCTTCAATATGTTTATCTCCAAATCATGGACAATTAATTCAGTTTTGTATTTTTTGCCTAACTTTGAATTTTACCTCAGACCCATTAACATTTTCTTTAATTCATTATAAAGTTCTTGGATTTTGTATTATTTTTTAATTGAGTCCTATTCAAGCTTTTACTCTTTTCTTTTCCATCTGGCCATACTGTTCCATTGTTGTGAATTTGATAATGCCATTAACATTAAGTAAATGACTCCTTCTGTTTCCCTTTAAGATTCATTTCCTTTTCAGTCTGTCCATAATATTACATTTTTGTTGATTCAAACAGTTTTTTGATGCTTTACAAAATCTTTGATTTCTGTACACTGTCAGTATTGATTTCTTCACTTATGAATTTGACACCCTCTAGTGTTGTGTTAAAATGAGTTTCTGTTTTCATTGCCACACATCCCATTTACTTCAAATGCAAACTTTCGTAACCAGGATGTTTAAGCTTCTCGAACCAGCATTGATTTTCATTATATCTATTTACTGCTATAACTCTTTCCCAACATGAATATAAAAGGAGAGTGTTGGCCTGTTGATGGAAAAGTAAGAGTGCTTTTAGGGAAAACTTCAACTGACCTTTACACCAAGACCTATACTTTGAATTTTATCATTGAAATACATTTTTGATAAGAATTATCACATTTCAAAATGGGGTTTAAAAATAGTGAACAGAACTGGAGATATTGCCATTTCATTGATGTATATAAATAAGAATAATGGTGCCAAAAGAAGCCTATTCTCCTGAAAGGTATTACGTTTTACGTAATAAGCCTCCATATGGAGCCTTTCTTGTGAAAGAGTTGAGTGTCCATTCTGCTTATTTCAGAATTCACTGCTTAGGATCACTCAACATGAGATTAACACTGTGCAAACTTCTTCTATTCATGATGAATTTATATTGGATATGTATAGATTGGATATTCATGTAGTTATGATTATTTAGGTATAATTTTACCTCATAGTACAACTTTACCTCATGCGATGCTTAAGTTGCTCTGATTTAGTTCGCTAGAAAATATCGCAACTAGCAGTGAAGTAATATTATATAATCTGTTTAATGAGGTTTCTTGCGAACATGTTGTCATTTGGTGTGTTTTTTTGTTTTTTTCATTTATTTATTTATTCATATATATTTCAACATCAAATGTACAGTAAACGGGTGACACTTCTCGTGTATATTCCCGTGTTTATAATCAAACATAAAATGTACAGATTGGGGATCTGCTTGTGTTGTGAATGCTACTGTCTGACTAATTATTATGTGTCATATAATGCCCACTATGGTTACTTAAAATTGGTATTATTGATTGATAAAATATTTTTTCAATTCTTTTTTCATATTAAAAATACATCCAGATGATGTTATTTCAGTAGGTAAAGAATTCCAAATTGATGGTGCAGTAAAAGATATCAAAGCTTTACCATAATTTGTTCGAATTTGGGGTTTGTCATAATTGGATAGTACTGAAAAGGTTTGGGAAAATTTTATGATAATTATGGAGTTTATTAATATATTTGTACATGAAAAGGCATTTCAACTGCTTATTAATATCAAATATATTCAGTTAGTTTGAGATAGTTATCATGCATTAAAGCTATTAAAGCAGCAACAGGGTCCTGGATAGCCTAATGATATTATGAATGATGACCCTCATTTGAAAGATTAGGTAAACAGATAAGATCGATAGTTGAGTCAAAAGTCGACCCTCACTGGATAGTTGCATCCTTGCTGCAAGGGTATTTTACAAGTAGCATAAATGAAGTCCTTTGAAGAAGGATGGGATAGTTGGTGGCTAGTGGACTTCTCAGCAGTGAGCAATAAAATCTATTCAAATGCTAATTGAGTAATCATTATTTCAGCTGATGGTACCGTCACTTTGGATATAACGAATGCACACTTAATTGTGGTTAACTTTCTAAAATCCAAGTCAACCCCTTGTAAAATGGATAAATGCCTCCTGGGAGAGAGGTCAGACCTGGCTGGGTGAGCCTCTTGCTGTTTATACCACATCCACTCATATATGGTATATCACCCATTTCAGAACACACTTTATGAGGTTGTTAAATTTTATTTATTGATCGATATGAACACCAAAGCAGATTTCTCAGTTTTTCAAAGTTACCTATATGAAACCTACGGGAAAAAATGCTACTTTATGCTCATTTGTTATTGTAGTTTTTTAGCAATTTCCAAAAAGTGCAGGGTTGTTGTTATGCACGTTAGCAACACGAGAAAGTAAACAGTAAGCGCCATTAGGTGTCCCTTTCCATTGAATATTGATATATTTATCTTAGTTACACCAATAAACATAAGGCAGACTGTAAACATAATAATTGATTTAAGTATATTTAGATCACCATTCCAAAGCTCATGCTCCTCAGTCCTCATGCTCTTCTATTTCACTGTTCCATTACTAGTTAGTTTGACAGATGTTGGATTTACACTAGCACGCTATAACATCTTAGCTAAAACATTTTACAAATGTAATGTAAATTCAGATTTACTCAAGAGCTCTCAGCTAAGAGTGCTTAGCTAAAACGTTTTAGGACCCTAGTCATAGCCAAGACGTCTTAGCGTTAAAACGTTTTACAAGTGAGTGTAAATCCATCGGTTTTAGCTAAGCACTCTTAGCCCGTTTTTTGCGTTGCGCCGAATGAAACATATGAAACTTTCTATTTACATATGTCGCATGGTCCTTTATTTTGTCTTATCCCTTGTTCCCAATATCATCCCAAAATTATTGAGAAGAACTTATTTGTCTGGTGATTTATCATAATCCTAATTTATGCTTAAAATCTTCCTGCTCTCATTCATGCTTTTAACAATGCTGTCTTTAGGACATATTTTCCTGAAACCGATGCATTCTTTAGTACAAAGTATAGAAGCAGGAAAGGAATAGCTAGAATGTCACTGTAGCAAAAGTCAAGTTGCAGATTATAATTTGGCACAAAGCTAGAAAATATAGTCAAGAAAAAATGCTTTTGATTTCAAATTTCACTTTAACATGGATTTCCATCAAAATAACAAAAGCGACGATCTAATTGTATGAATTATGCCTTCATTTGAAAAGTTTTTCCAAACAGAAGGCATTTTTCAAGCCTAGACTATATTGTCTAACTTTGTGCTTATAATTATAATCTGCAACTTAACTTATAAGTAGGTTTAAATCAAGAAAACAAAAAATTCATATCTAGGAAGTTCATCCCTGTTGTTACATTGAGTTGACAATCCGTCAAAGTAACTAGTTGTGGAACTGTGCATTTATTAGACACACTTTCAAACTTTTTAATCCTTGAGGAATGGCTCTCAATATTATTTGGCTGGTATTATCCAATTTGGTGAAAATGTAACTAGAGGCTATTGTTAATCTTCCATTGCTTAGTATGAGGTTATGGAAACATTTTGGAAATATTATAACCAAATTGGTCCATTCGAGTCAAAAGAAAATCCTAAAAAGAAGTTTGGAGCTAATCCTCTTCGTTTTAAATGATGTAGCTATTAACTCAAGGAGCTGTCTTTGGCTTGAAATTTTTCTGAGAGATTATTTTAAATTTGAGTTTGCTCATTCATTCCATTGTATATTGCACAGGTGAACTTTTTTGTGGTGTTGAATAGTTTGTCAGACATTCAAGGAGAGGATATGCCGGAAGCTCTTTTTGAAAAACTCCTTATGATCTTAAGTTATTTCAATTTTCTTAAGGGGTGCAATTTTGCCATGTCTCACAACAGCCTTGTACTATTGGGTTCAGGTTAGCCAGGTGTTCAGATATACAGGTTCTACTGTACATAGTTATGTCCAGCAAGTGGCACTCTGAATTCCCAAGACATTTGCTTAAGACTGACATAATTAATACTGAAGAAGTTGGATCATAATCAGTTGACACTGGCAGCATATTGACTTGAGTGTTAATTGATCACATTCATGTCTTAATTTAAATTCATATTCTAATTTCATAAAGCTGGGTTTAGTTACTTAATCTGTTTCTGCATTCACCACCTGTAGCCTTTACATATTGCATAAACAGTTCCCAGTATCCTATCATAAGCTACCAATTTTCATACTTTTCAGTGGACTTGCCATCTCTATTGTATTGATTGGAGAAATTATTTGTTATATACAGGGTGGGCTAAAGAACATCTATATTTCTTACCTTGCAATAACTTTTTTCATCATGGGTGGATTTTAATAAAAAAAATTCCCAGGGAATACATATTAATTTAGATGCAAGTAGGTGGTTACCAGTTTCAACACCAGGTAGCTCATTCGGGTCAGAAAGCATGGCTGTTATCGTAGAAAGTTTCCTTTAACTTAAGTAGTCATCAGTTTTAGTGGTTCAATTTTCATATCACTCTAATGTTTCTAATAGTAATGCAAATTAAAATATGTCAAGTATTAAAAAATATTATCTGTCCAATACAAGAAAAGATATTTCAATTCTTGTGATTTTATTGTATTGGGGAATCTCCCTGAACTAGAAAAAATCTTTAGAGGTCACATTTTCCCAAAAAATTCAAATATGACATCACTTTGACTGAATCTTGAATATTCACTGACATAAATCAAGATTATTTCTACTCATATCTAGTCAATTATATCTATAGTGGAAATTGAAGGAGTATAGTTAACAGTCAATCAGAATATCTGTTAATTTGAATTTCTTATGGTGAATCATATATGTAATTTTAGGGAAAATAATTTTATTATAAACCTCATAAACATTTATGCTTGCAGCAAAACGATGTCAAGCGTGTGTGGGGAATGCGGGCTGCATTGGGCCAGGTGGATTTCACGAGTACAGCTAGCGAGGATCTGCGAGATCTTCTTACTCAATGCATCATCAGCCTCAATTATCTTAAACTCGATGAGGTATAACAAGCTCTATATTTACGATGCCCATTTTCCATATTGTTTACTAGGCTTGCCTGTATATATGCAGTTTACGTACAGTATATATACCATAAATTGATTTGGATTTAAGATACAATTTCAGGCATGATTTTGCTTCATGGTACCTATCAATCTTTAGTGTCAATTAATTTTTTAAGGTACTTATATTTTTCTAAATGAATTTTTTAAAACAAGTTCTTAAATCTTCATTTTTCAGGGCCGTCGGTTTCTTGCATACATATTTGGGATGAATCCCAATTTTATTGAAGACTTACACAAAACTATCAAAAACCAACTACCAGGCTGCTCAAGGTAAGCTTAGACATATCATAAGCACATTTTTTGTCGCTATTTGGAATCTCTAACAAATTGTCACATGTCTACATGTATTATTTTGGTTGGATATCAATTTAATTAAAAAATCAATATTCAAATAAATATAGGATATAAACATCTTCATATTAGAAATGTAGTAAGTTCAGAATTAGTGAGTCAGTTAAAGTGGAAAGAGGGAGTTTTTTTGTATAACCTGATGATTCTGATGAAACATGTTTAATGATATATAAAAGATATGTACCAGTACATTAGAATCTGTCTAAAGAGATTAGGGCGGTAACCATCTAAAATCTTCACTTGAAAGATGTTGGGTGTTACTGTTATAGTGTTTTTACTGTATATAGTTTTTGAATAAATTATACTTAGTAGTATCAACAATTACTGCTACATTGAAAGTCTTAGATCCTTATATTGTGGACTTTCTCCTCTGAGGAAAGACCTTGCCAATATTCAGAACATATTTATTTGTGTAAATGGTCTCTCCACCCTTGCAGCTGTCTACTAGAGTGGTATGGTGAGGTGTATTTTAGAGCATGGAGGTCGGCTACAGGACCATACCTCGACAAAATTGAGCAGAATTGTATCCAAGACCTCATGTACCATGCTATACATCTACCTAGAACCTCAAGCAAAAACCTAGCAGCATCATTGGGGAAGGTGAGATATATATGTAACAACCCCTTTCTATATGCAAAAGTCCTAAGATTTGAATGGAGCTTTGCCTCAGTATACCTTTGCCTCAAATATAGCCTCAATATGTCATTTCTTGAAGCTCATTATTTGGGAAGGTTATCAAGTCAAAAAACATTTCTGACAAAACCTTCCTCTTGAATGTATAATCTTGTCATATATATCATGAATAGCTGTGTTTACCTCTGATTGGTGTCTCATAGGTTTGTCTTTATGTTTGTCATTCTATTCTATTAGAATGCAATAAAACAAATCCTAAAAATATAAAAGAATGTCAGGGTGTTCATGGTCTGTGGATTTCAACATGATTGGAGATAAGGGGGTTCAGAAAAGAAAGGAATAATCATTCATTCTTGGCTATTCATCAACTTTCTGAATATCACCATTACACTGTACGCACATGATACTTTCTTTAAGTCCTCTGTTTTCTTCACATGAAATTACGAGCCATGAAATTCTGTATTTCTCTAAATTATTGTTCACTCGTGTCAAATAATTAGTCCCTCAATCACATTAATTTATAACCCAGGTGCTTCACTACATCCATGGCCAGAAGAAACAGAGGGGAGTAGATGAGATGCTATTGAGGCTCTATGACCCAATCATATGGCGATCATTGAAGGTAAATATTTTCTCAGTTCTATTGTCATATTTTGTATTAAATCTGGGAATGCAAGACAGAAAGAACTCTAATAATGTATAGGATGTAAAATAAACAAATACAGAGAAAATATATGAAAATATGAGAAAAACTTTCTTGTCCTCGTACCTGTGCAATATCATCCATTCTTGACTCGCTTTGATAATGTTTCTTTATCTCGTCTGCGATTCGATAAAGGAGAATTATCAAAGCTCATCAAGAATGGACGATCTTGTACAGGTATTCATATAAGAACCTCTTATCTTGTATATATAAGCTTTATAGCAGTGTTATTAATAACAGACTTGTAAAATTTTATGATTCAGAATAATCACTATCACTATAAATAAATAAATAAACTAAAAACTAAAACTAAACTATGTAAAACTATTCAATAATGTGCTCTTTCTCATGCTACACATATTATAATTGTACCTGTATACTATTATAGCAACAAATAGCATAAACTTTACCACAGAATCACAGGTTGTATTAAAAATACAAATTTTGTTTAAAAAAGCCATTCATTATCATTTGATAGAATGATTACATGAAATGTTTCCAGGTGGCCAACAGTACAATACGTGGTAATGCTGTTTCTCTCTTGATTGATGCTTTCCCGCTACAGAACCCTGACTCAACTGTTGAAGAACTCGACTTCATCATGCAGAAGCAATTTGACGCTTTAGATGTAAGTCATTTATATCACTTCATTGTAAAACATGTTATTTTTGCCATTAAGATTAATAGCCTGTATTTATAAGTGGTGTTTAATCCAAGTTGCTGATTGGTGAAATTTTATAATTTTTACCTAATTCCAATTTTCCTTATGACAAGAAACTTCCTATTCCAAACCTGGCAAAAATTAGGCAATGTGCAAATTAAATGATTAGGAAAAATTACCACTTATACAGTATATACTGGATGCCAAAGTGGGTGAATTTTAAATATACAGTAAAACCTATTCTTCTGAACACCTCTCTAATTTGAACACCTTTCAATGTGAACATTTTCAGTCCCATTTTTTATGTCACCATTAGTAGTGCTAACATATTATAGTCTTCAACTTTTTGTGGATGGTGTTCAGTATTTTGTGGTTGTTGTCTGGCATTCGGCCTCTCTAACAAATGTCACATGGTGACATTTTGCATGTTAATATCTTGTTATTAATCTGCTCAAGACTTCAATGTAAAAAAACTCAAAATGTGACTAAACTTAATGAAAGACCATAAATTCTTCAAATGACACTAATTCGCATTATGCATCACCTTTTAGATAACAAAAGTTATTCATACATATGATTGGATTTAATTTGCAGACGCTTCTGAAGGACCCATGTCCTAGTGTTCGCGCTACTGTCGTGTACGGTGTATGCCATATCTGCAATGTCTACTGGGAGTTGATTCCTACACAGAACATAAAGACCTTCATTGTACAGTTAATTCAGGACCTTGCTTGGGATGTTGGCGCGCAGGACGTCAGAATTGCTGTATTCAAGGTGTGTACTCGAATATTTGTTTTAGAAATCCTCCAGAGAAGCAGGATGTACAGCTGGAGTGATAACTATCAATCTGTAGGTGACTTTCCTCCAACATTTTTACATCGTACAACGTGCATGTATATAAAGCAATTAGTTGATTATCAGTTGGGGAAATAGTCCTAATTATCGCACGATTGTCCTTAATAGCTAAAATATGCACCCACCTCTTTTAAACTAGTGTTCCTAACACCTGCTCAACACCATTCCATTCCTCCAAATCTTAATGAATTAACTTTAATTTATAGAAATTGTTTACTTACTTTCGTATCATACCCTCAAAGTTAGTTAAGTTATCATATTTGAAATTGTCATTAGTTTTCCCAAGTACCCATGCAATGATAGGACCATATCCCCATTTAACTCACTATTCTGTCTTTAAGAGTCTGATTTTTAGCCATTTAGAAGGCTGGTTTGCCAAGCTCATGTATTTGCAGCATGCCTTCCTCTTTGTATTACGAAGTCCTGGGCTCAATTTCTGCCTTAGATGAAAATTTTTGCAATACTTAATGAAAAAAACAAAATACAATACAATGCAATCAGTTCAATACAATACAATGCAATCAGTGCAATACAATACAATGCAATCAGTGCAATACAATGCAATATAGGGTGTCGCACAGCTGTTTAAATTGTACTATTAGAACTGTTCTTCTTTCTATGTGTACAGGGTATCACACTGCTATTGGATAACCACATGAGCCACCCTCTCTTGAAACCTGTTCTCCCAAAGCTACAAGATTTCCTCCATGACTCCTCAGAGAAAGTGCGAATTGCTGTCTTAGACATGCTCCTCAAGCTGAAAACACTGCGGACAATAAAGGTATGGACATCAGAGAAATTAACTAATGATTTGCATATATAACTGAAAGTATTCTAGTTTTCTAGTTGAAAATGGTGCTTGGAGTCTCAAATAAAAGGTAGGGGATACATTTTAAAGTGTGCGCCTGACCCGGCTACGTATAGCACAGAGTTTATACTGGCGGATTAGACTAATTCATTTTTTATATGTGTGTGAAAGCTTTCTCTTATTTGCGTTTTTTCGTTTAGTACAGTTTTGTTATAATTGCCGAGGTCATATAACCGGGATGAAACAATGATTATCGTTGACTGCCCACACACAAAACATACGTTGAGTGAACAGTGTTATTACAAACAACAGGCTTTAGAATACAAAGCCCAGTAGTGTGATAATAAGCTGTACACTACCACTGCTGCATGTACATATTAGTAGGGCTCCCAGAGAGTGGATAGGGAGGTTGTGTTTGTCACTTTTAAATTTTACATTTCAAAATTGTCATTTTACATGTCATAATTTGTTGGTTTCATTCGTTTAGCCAATCAAAACATTGTAAAACAATAAATTGTCTGTTATGTACAATCAATTTTGTTCAGTTTTGATTAGTTGTCAGAATAAAGTTACGTTCATCTGAATCCATGTATCAAAACAAAAATCTTATTTTCACTTCAAAATACTTCAGTGAGATGAATGCTCGGAATTGTCACATGCAATAACTTATTGTCGTATTCGTTATTTATCTTCTCGATAGTAGCATTTAGTCGCACATTTGATGCCAGGTCACCTTGTCGCGTACCTCTTGGGGAGCCCCACATTTATGTGTGTACTCATGGAAGTAAATTCCCCGGTGTAGCCGAGAGCCACAAACTTTTCAACAGCTTCGAAATGGCCAATTTCTCTCATATATACTCTAAATATTTTATTATTTAGCACCTACAAAGTATTGCTAATAACCATATGTAATTTCAATAAGGAAACTTATCTGGCTACATGTAAATTCAATATCAACACTAGCTGTTCTCTCAACACGCCCTGGCTTACCTTGTGGTGACAAACCCTGGATTTTCGCTATTTATAGTTTATCAACACCTGGACGCATGCGCATTTTATAGTTTATCGGGCCCTTTAAGAGTTACTCATTGAGAGTGTTTAATTTCACAATTTTGTTAAAGTCAGCCCTGACAAACGATATCCTTTTATTTCAGTTTTGGCAGGTTGTACCAACAGATCATTTATTGGCAAGATTAGAGGTGGACAGTGCTCCTGTATGTAGACGGATCGTTCAGTTGACCCTTAATAGTTATATGCCCCTAGATAAACCCTCAGATGTGCAAGTCACTCGTACCCTTACCCTGGTGCAGTCCAACCCTGCAGCTGCTAGGTGCTTCTACAAGTATGCCAGTGCCTCAGTGCCAATCAATCAGATATGTAAGGGAATTATACCAACTGATCCATATAAATTTATAGACAAGTTGAGATGGTATTTTTTGGTTTTTACATGGTTAATCTTTCTGATCCAGATATCCTTCAAAATATGTTCATGACATTTTGGGAACAATTGCATAATTGATTTTACATTTTGAGCAAAAAAGTTTTTAAAGTTTATGAATTATTTTATCAACGTTTTTGGCCATGTCTGTATATTCACAGGAAGGGGATTGAGAGAGTTAAATAAATTTTATCTGTTCTTTGTTGTAGGCAAGTTTATTGTGCTGCTCTATCGTTGTGTAATCCGTTGTGTCCAGAAGACAGACAATGACACCTTTGATACTGGAGAGGATAAAGAAAATGAGAGTTTTGAGGCTAACTTTGATGGAATGAAAAATTCTGAGGTTGTGGTTGGACTGCTAGATACAATAGCTGTTTTGTGGAATGGTATTGCGATTGATCTTGATAAGGTAATGCAAATTTAAGGTTTGAAATTTACTTATCTCCAAATTGAATGTTTGGCCCCCTCCTGTAAAAAGCTTACTTTTTTAAATTTCTTTCTTTAAAGTAAAAGTCAGTTGAAATCAATAGTCACACTCTCAAATACCAATATTCAGATCAAATTACTTCTCCTGTGGATGTCTTAAAAAAGCAGCTTCCCAAATACATTTGCTCTTTTGCCAAAATATTAAAACTATGACAGTAACTAATTGAGAACTTGTATTTCAGCCTGTCCACAAGAACATGAAGAAGAAGCTTTGTAACAGACTGAGTGGTGCTATACAAGAGCTCTTTGAGGCAGTGGAGGATAGCAAAGCCCTGTCAGCATTACTAGCCATATCTGCTCATTTGCCTGCTAACACTATTGACACTTTAAGGTAAATCTAAGGATCTCTCAAACTGATGGGTTATTAATAACTGACCTTGAGCTCATTTATTGAGTATGTATTGAATACATGTATGAATTGTTTACTTGCTCAAGATTAAATATTGAAAACTCAAGTAGATCTCATGAAAATGAAAAAGATGAACTTAGGCAAAATTTATCATTTGGATGTTTTCTTTGAAACACTCTCACGATACACTGTTAGGATCATTTTGGTGATGATTATCACAATAACTCTGATACATTTTAATGATTTGATATAACAAGAAATATTGAATATACGATGTTTGGGTATTTCAGTGAGAGTTGCTTAGAGCAGGTCCGTTGTATTGACAATGGTGATATAGAGAACTATGGGTCTGTGCTGGTTGCACTGTGCTACTGGGACAAGTCACAACAATTGTTCCATGTCTTCAATGGCTGGATTAGAGCTGGCCTAGAGTTACTGAAAAATATGGGACAACAGAAGGTACGAGAATGTACAGTTTATCTATATACCATATGTTTTCACTTGATCACTTTGAATTATGGGGTAGTGGGCATAGATGCGACGAGTCAAATAGCACACATAATTCCATCTCTGTCAAATTCAAAATAGGATCAGATCACCAGAACATGCCATCGCTTATTTGATTTAGCGCATTTGACAAAGTTCCAACCAATTTCAATAAACCTTCACTTAACATTTTTATTTTTGAAATGTGACTGTATAATAGTTTTAACCTGGATTCTTGAGGATGCCAAACATATTTTCATGATGAACACAAATATATGGCATGTAAAAAATGTATGTTAAATATCTAATGCCCCCCCCCCCCTTCCCCTCCCACTATTTTCACACACTGGATGCAGCCAATCCTAAATTGATGATTTATAACGTTAATAGAGTAAGGGCACACAAGCAGCCAATGTATTGACACAGCTTGGACTTGGGATTGATTCTCTCTCTTACCTCACCAAACACTCAGTATGCAGACAGTTACTACTGCAGAACAAATCAAAGTTACTGTTGAGCACAAGGGAACTGCTGAAACAATCAATGGTGAGTGCATAGATGGATGGATTTCTTTCCTATAATGCTCTTGGTGATGAGAGCTACCAAAAATGGAGCTACCAAAAACAAGAAATAGATTGATCTTTTATCATTGAGCCAATATTTACGAAGACAAGGCTATCTATTGTAGTTCACTTCTATGAATCAATCCATGTGTCTCAACATTGAATTTTATGACTTGGGGAATAATCTTGTGGCATACGGAAATTGTAATGAATTGTCTTACATTAAATATTGAACAATTAATTACTAGATTAGTAATATGAGAGAACTATAGAGGTACTTTGTGCTTAATCTTGGAATTATTTTTCTGCTTAAATTATAGGTTTGTCTGGAGAAGCGGTTCACCAACGTTCAGTATGGTGAGATGGCAGATACACTTCTTGTGAATGCTTTCCAGGCGTATTGTAAAATCTCTGTCATATTACATGACTTGGTGAGTAGTTAGAATTAAGATTTATGTGCTCTCTATTGTACTGCATAGCAATCATATATTAGATCTCCAATCGTATTGTCTTTATGAGCTGTGCCTTGAAACACCTAAATGGTCACCCAAATGCTTAGATTGGAGGAAATTCTGATATATCTCTACCCTTTGCATTCGTTTGACTTCACTTCTTAAAAGAGAGCTTCGTCTTCACTCTTTCAAACTAAAATAAACCTGTGAACACACCGCGCCAATCAGTGTTCGTCAGCCAAATTTGACCGACGTTCTATATATGGTCATTCTTTCTGCCGTCATTGTTGAGCCCGGAATCGACCAATGACATGCGCATATTTAATTAGAACACATTTGGCATATGTTTCTTCAAGCTCGCTGATTGGTGGAAGAAAGGTCAGCACGTAGGTCAAAAGTGATTTATTACCCAAACTGTCACTGGTACCCGTCGTGGGGGCGGGGCTACTAAACTGTAATATGGTCTCTACCAGGCAGAGTGTAGTTTAACTAGACTCTGCACGCAGGGTAATATATCTCTAATGCATGTAAATGGTACATTTTGACAAACTGTTACTGTATAGTATACAGATTCAATGATTCATGAATGTAATGTTTGTTTGGATTTGCTACTCCGTGGAGTTGCCAATTTTTAGTTCTAACAGTTGACTCCTAGATAGGTCAATAATTCTACACTGTACATGTGACTTAATTATTTCAGGATGATAATGACAGGAACATGATTACAATATTTGAGCAAATACTCACATGGATGGATGTAGAGGTGGTAGGATTGGTCAAACCAATGGAGCAAAATGAAGAACAAGAGGAGAGAAATCCTGAACAAATTGATGACTCTGTAAAGCACATAGCAGGAAAACTTGTTGAGGTAAGATTCGATTTGGCCAATAATATGACCAGAGTGGCTTGTTCAAACTGGAAATGATTTTGAGATCTCTTGTGAGGATTATTTTTTGTGTAGTTTTTATTGTTTGTTTACAGATTGTGTTAGGCGTCGCATGTGATATGTTGTTGGTTGGCATATGTGATGATGAATTCTCAAATCAGTTGACAAACTTTGCAATACCTTTGCTTGAAACAGGTAACCATTGTAGATATTACTTTATTGTAGGCATTGCAGTGTAATCAGTTCATTGTAGGCATTGCTATGATATCAATATATTGTATTCTATTGTATTTTAATTATGTTAACTTTTTATTGTCAGATGACTTCCTGCCCCATATATGTATGCTGCTGTACCAACTGACAGAATGTACAGTTCTGTTGACAGAGGCTGAAACTGATGAGGGGGTTGGGCTTCACAATGATGTCATACCTGACCTTTTCAGTAAGGTCATACAAGCACTCTCCAAGACAGTTCGCAAAAATGCAAATGGAAAATCAAATGTAAGTGACTCTTGTTGAAAACAGTGTTTTAGAAATATCACCGCAGCATTATATCATATACAGTGAAACTTGTGTACCGAACACCTGGCTTATCTGAACACATTCCATTTTTTCCTTCCATTGACTCCCATGTTAAAATACCTTTAAATATAAACACCTTATCCGAACACTTTAAGCAGACCAGTCCTAATGGTGTTTGGATTAGACAGGTTTTACTGTAGCTGTATTGTTCACAGGTTGGAATGCAAGTGCCCTGTAATTTAACTGGCTAAGGTGTAGGAATAATAACCTCTTGCACCTAGATAGCATTGTATATATGTGAAGTCAAAGTCAAATTAACTTTCAAAATAAAGTGATCACTTGTTTTGTTTTGTTTTATCTTAAAGCTTTTACATTAGCTATATTGTGTTTTACAGGTGTTCACAAGTCTCAGGTCTTCCACATATGGTGCCCTATCATCGTATTATTGTAATAGGGTGAATCCAGAAGATGGGGGTAGAGACATCATGGCTACAGTCATGGCTGCGACAATTGCGGAGGTCACTTCACAAATAACAAAGGTATTGGATCCTATGTTTGAAAGTTTCTCTTTGTGATTTATGAACTTTAAAAGGGCAACAAAGACGAGATTTTAGATTTTTGAAAGAAATCATTATAGGTTCTCTAAATTGATGTCACTTGTTGAGAAATCTGAAACTGGAATTCCATTAAGTTTGTGGTTTCTTGTAGAGTAGGATTTGAGCTTCTGGTATCTAGTTATTATGTCACCACCAAAAGTAGTGACATATTGTTATGGTCTCCGTTTTTTGCAATGGTGGTTGGTGTCCGCTGTCTCTATCAAATTCTTACAACTTCCAATAACTTAACAAATACTGTTTGACTGACTTCAACATCTTTTTTCAAAATCATTTACAAGTTCTCAGAAGTTCAAATCTCACTTTACATTTGATTTTCAATGACCTTCTCAAGGTCAAAGAGGTTCAAAAAGATCTTTTTTCAACTTGCTTTAAATTGACCATTTTTTTCAAAATCAGCTACAAGTTCTCTGAAGTTCAAATCTGACTTTAGATTTGAGATTTGACCTTCTCAAGGTCAGAAAAAGATCAAAATGGTCTTTATTCAACTTTTTAAATGTGATTTTTAGATTTAAAACTTGAGCTTCAATGACCTTCTAAGGTAAAAATGACAAAAAAGGTCTTTTTTCAATTTACCTCAAATTGAAATTCAAATCTGACCTAGGATTGAACTCATAGTATTGTGAGCAACTAGGTGGTGACATTTTGTCAAGTTAATGCCTTGTTCTAGTCTGTCTAGCCATCTTATATTACAGACACTCACCCTGTAAATTGTTAACTTATTGACATAGATATGTTTGTATGATAAATGGCACATATTGTATAGGTTTACCATCATATATTACTCTGTTGAATGTATGCATAAAACAACAGGTATTGTTGCTTAATGTCATATTGTGCATTATCTCATGTTATATTACTGTCCCATCGAACAAAGTTTGGAGGGATATAGGGAACCCCTCTGTCTGTTCGTACGTACGAATGTATGTTTGTTCATCCATACATGTGTCCATTCTGCTGATAACTCAAATACCGTTAGTCCGATTTTGTTCATATTTTGTACACATATGCTCTATGAGGATAGAAGTTTGCTCTTAAGCTAATTTTCAAAATTACCTCTCGTTTTGAAATGGTGGTCATTTAAAAAAGTTATATAGGACATTAATCAAGCTAGAAATTTGGATATTTAAGAAACACATATGGCAGCCATCTTGAAAAATGGCAGCCTTTACATGCTATTTTACGAATTTTGCTGTAACTTTAAAAGTAGTGGATCGATTTCGTTCATGTTTGATATGTGAATACTCATAAGTATGGCACACTGTCTTATAACACTTTGGTTAGTAGGCAGCCACTTTGAAAAATGGATGCCATTTACACGTACATGTACATGTACAGGGGATTTGCTACGATTTGGCATTGCTATCATCTAGTATTATTATTGGATTTGATCGCATCAATATACCCTTATCAGGCTGTATTACTCCAGTACAAAACATGCATACAATATTCGCTAATTATTACTATATTGACTGTATAAAACTATATTAAATCTCCAATACTATATGTTTTACATATTATTTGATTCAAACAGTCATGCAGCAATTGGTAATGTTTACAGTTACTTTGATAGATTTTATAATAGTGAATGTGTCTATTTGCATTCCTAAATTAAATTTCATTAAAATCGATTAAATTCAAGTCTTTCTGTTTTAGAAACAGCGTGTAGGTGCATATGAAAACATACAGTCTCTTCCCTCTCTGTCTGCCTTTCTAATAGGGATGATCTCACGACGCAAAGAAACAACCAGGTTAGTGGGATGACCCCTGAAATGTCAGGAATCAAATCTTTAATTCTTGTAGCCAATTGAGATTGTTATCGTTACTCAATGAATTCTATTTACATGTTTGTTTTTTCAGAAAATATATTAATCTAGCGTAGTTATAAATCATTCTTTCCAGTCCCTGTTTTTAGGGATTAATTTCAGGGTTTTCTAGATTTCATTAGTTTTTGGACATGTATTGTTGTCGCTTTGAGCTCTTAAGTGTGATATTTATCACTGAGTTTAGTTTCATGATTTCTTAATCCCGCATTTTAGAAGATAAAACTTGTACTTTTATTAGTTCACCCTGTAGAGACTAACATATTCAAAAGACTTCATTGCTAAACAGTGACAGTCGACTAATATGTTGGATTTCATACAACTGCAGCAGGAGTTGCCAATGTGTTAGTGAGCAGTAGTTGATCTGTTTAGCAATGTTAAGATTAACTTACTTGAAGTGTTTGTTTGTTATGATTTTGGTAGCAGTTATATTTAAAAACATAAGATCATGGTTTCATTGTACAACTCAGAAGCAGAAAATGACATCCTCTGAAAGAGAACTGTGTCAGTTGACATCACAAAATGATGTCAGGAATCGATCAATAACAAAACATGTGGACATCACGAAGATCATCATCATGGCCACATATAGGAGCGGATCTACATTCTTGTCTCAACTTTTTGTGCAAAATCCAAATGTGTTCTATGCCTTTGAGCCCCTAGCACTTATACAAAAATGGAAAAACAGAGATTTGATACAAAAACATGGTCCAACTGTGCTGAGAGAGATGTTAAATTGTGATATAGGGATGCTCTCTTACATGACACCAGGTGAGCACAAATGGGTGTTTAGATATGGACATTTCAATTCTACTTTTGAAGATACATACCAAATCTGTAAAAGCAGGAAAATTAAAGTTGTAAAAATTATTTCATTGGACAATTTGGAAAATCTTTCATCACACTTTGGAAATGACACGGCAATTTTGCTATTGGTACGTGACCCACGTGGTATATTTAACTCTAGAATGCATTTATATGACGAGCACCCCAAAAATATTACAGCTATGGAAAATAGGCTAAATAAAATGAGACATACATGTCTTAATTTTGTGACAAATTTGAAATTTCTGGAGAAAATGAACAAATTACCCAGACACGAGCAAGCGAGTAGGCCGCTCTTTAAGCAGATCATTTATGAAGAAGTTGCAAATAACCCAATTATAAAATCCAAGGCGATTTACCGAGAGTTAAACATAGATTTTGATGAACATATATCTGAGTGGATACATAATTACACCAACTATATTGGGGGTTTGAATGACAAAGAAATTAGGAACCCAGTATCAACCAAACGTAACTCAAGGATTACCGCAAGAAAATGGCTGCACCAGTTGGAAAAGTCGCAAATATATGACTTACAAAACATTACAGAATGTGCTGAAGTTATAGATATTTTAAAGTATGAACCTGTGTTTTGAAATGTATGATGCACATCATCATGTCTGTATGAAAATCAACCAACTTCTGTCACACAGTGAATTGTACACTTTATATAATTCCAAGAGTTATAACCCATTTTTTGATCCATGTGGTTATCCTGTAGTCAATGTCAAATATATAAGGTTAATTTGATTGGTCTTAAAAGTGAAGTTATCTCGTACCTAATTGGTGGAAACATGTGGAAGCCATATTTGAAAGGAGATATAGAATATATTCAATGTATTACAAAGAGTATGTTATTCATATTCAACTTATTGCTTGTTTACAATGTAAATAAACGGGCAATATGCAACACAAAACACAATTACCTTTATTATATTGCAATGGCGTTAGTAAATAAAATGACAAAATTTGTTTTTGTCTCAAGTGAACCATGTGAACCAAAATAAATAGAGATATAAACTGGAATATGAAACAATGTTGTACTAAACCTAAATATTTTCTCTATTAGAAATGCATAAATACTACATTGACAATTTATTTCACTAGATGCAAACCACAAGAAAATCTCCAAAAGCTTCCAAAAATCCCTGAAATATGGTTTGTTTTCATGAATTATATGCAACCAGACTGTATTTGCTAAAATAAATAACAAAGATTATTTTAATTTTTAATTTATGACCCCAAAATCTTGGTAAATCTCAGTATCAATTAAAGCACTCTCTGTCTTTCAATTAGTAGAAATGACTTGCCTGCTCATCAAAATATAAGGTGTCATTATGTTTTCAACACAATGATTCTAGTCTATAAGGGACAGGGAAAGCCTGACATCTTTCAATCGTAAATGCATCAATAACTGAATTCTGTATCAAGGTTTACAGTTCTGAATTAATGGATAAAAATGGGCATGGTGAAAATCTTGCAAGCTCAGTCTTCATTACACTCCACACGTCCATTGATCTGTAAAAAGGGATTGCTTTCCTCACAAAGCTTTTGAACTGAAATGAGGTAGAGCATTCCCTCGACTCATGTTTGCATAGAACACAGTAAAGGTGAAACAATTGCTTGAAATTGCATTTTGGATTTCCTGGGTAAATACTATTAGAGCTAGAGGTGAAGTAAGGCCCACCCTTTTAGAGCACCATTTCAAGAATGAGCTAAACTTGGCCTCATTTAACAGATATCTAATTTGTAAGAGCCTAATGACACCTTCAGTGTTGGAGAGAAAATTTCTATCAATACCTTAATGAGCTAAAGAAAACAATCCCATTTCCAGCAGGTCTTTCTATTGTTTAGAATCTGCAAAGAATCTGTCAGAGATTCTCCAGCAATAGAGATGCCCTTTGGACATAATCAAGGCATACACATTTTGAAATTATTTCAGGGATGACACAAAATTATGGTATGTTCAAAATATAAAGATTGCTCAATGATGACATGAATTCATCATATCTATGGCATTTCCTGTAAAAAATCACACCTTTCTCTGGTATCACATCTTTCTCTTGCATATGCGTTATGATTGTTCACACTTGACTTGATACAGCATTAATAGATAATTTGAATAAATTTTGAATCCCTTATGTTACATGGTTGTTTGAGTAATGCCTTTGTTATATAAACCACCATCGTTTATGTGATCTACGTCATTATATGTTATGTTACATTGTAATTATAGTGTGAAATTTCCATAAGGGTTGATTTAATTATATAGAAACTACCTGAAGTATTGTTAGAATATGTATAACATAACAAGCATTATATGAAATCAATTTACTGATGTTTCCATAATTTCTATTAATTGGAGATATATTATCGCTGTATTGTGTTGATAATTGATTGGTTCAACTGAATTGTTACCGTAGGAGTAGGTCTGCTCCTTTGGGGGTGGAGGCAAAAATCAATTTCAATTTTGTTTTATATATGGTGCTGATTTATTGTGTCGTCCCAGTGTTAATCAAGGATCATTACTTTGGTGGTTTCATTTTGAGGGGAATGGGGGCTATGTCAAAATGAAATAATAATATACATGTATTTTGAAGTGTGGGTATAGATAGAAGCTTGGTGTTTTGACTTGACCCCCAAACTTTTGTGCAATACTTTACCTTGGTACATTTCATAGGCCAGGAACATCTAGTTCTAGAACATCTAGCAAGTAATTGTCACATTTTTCTTCATTTTTGATAAGCTTGATCACATATTTTTTATTGCCAATAACATTTTGACCAACAACATTTTTCAACCATGTTTCAATGATAACAAATGAAAAAGCAGTCTTTTGATAAAGACAAATTGATAACAATGGTCTCTACTGATGCACGCCTACACCAATTGGAACACATTTTCCATGAATCATTCACAGCATTACGCCCATTTAGATGCACAGATTGCAATTAATCTGAACAGAATGTTCATAAATAATTTGATGATGTACTCTTCGGCAAAAAGGTGTCAGACACTTCTCTAGCTAGCTATGACGTCAAAAAGATATAAAACATATAATGATTCACGGAAATAGTTTGGCCAAGGACAGACAAGGGCATTAAATTGTTACGCAATGTCAATTCTGCCAGTATTTTCGCCAGTGCTTTACTGTTTGGATTAAGTCAGTATAAGAGAAGATATACAATGTTGTTCAACATTATTAAACCAAGTGTTAAGCTGGATAACCCTAAGGTATATAAATCATCGATTCTGATCTTTGCCTATTTTGATGAGGGGATTAATCTTTTTATTATGCTCTATTATGTCACTGAATTTAAGGGGATGTAGAGAATGTCTATGCATGGGTGATATATCTCAAATGCTGGTGGTCTGATTCTGCTCATATTTTGAAGGCAAACTGGTTTCCCTTATACACATTTTTATGGATTCGTCTTATACAAACCTAGGCTTGATTTGTGTGACCATCATAAGGTGGAAGTTTTCACAAATTCCTGGGCCAAGTTGTCCCACGGGATAGTGCTCATTATTGGAGGTGGCCATTTTGTTAGACTGCAAATTGTTCCACATTTTGAAAACTTATTTTCCTTGGCCTAACCTAAGAGACTGGGTGTTGATTCTATGATAGCAGGTGATTCACTTGCATCCTTCAGGGCTAAATGATGTGATACACGAACCTCACAATCACAAATCTATTTTCTGCCGAGGCATCTTGGCTTGAATTTATAACAGCAGGTTAACAAGTTACAGTTAATACAGTAGACAACAAATAAAGCATTGTGTCACATTGGATTATCACCCAGATCAATGAGGCTTTTGTTCTAATGCTTACACACAGGGGTTTTATTTTCGAATTGTCATATCTTACGATTTGGTAAGAAGTCATTGATCCACTAAAAGTACATGTTGGATTTGTAGGAATTGTTAGTTCTGAATGTACGAAGTGACCCCAATGTCCCTGAAATGATGGAGGTGACATATTGTAAAACGTTCCAACGCTGATAGGCTTGGACATTTTATATTCAAATGCTAAGCCTCAGTAGTGATTTGTAACTGACCATTTTGTCATTTTCATGAACTAATAAGTGAGCTTGGAAAATACATTACAAAACAGGTTCACTTTTTATGTCCCCACCACATAGTGTGGGGCCATATTGTTGGCCTAGGCGCGTCCGTCTGTCCGTCTGTCTGTCTGTCCGTCTGTCTGTCCGTACGTCCGGCAGTTTTCTCCAAAACCGCTACAGATATCACCTTCAAATTTTCAGGGATAACTTATGAGTGCATTCAGATGTGGATGAAAAAAAAATTAACTCTATACCTACTTCCTGTCGGCCATTTTGAAGTCAAATGCTAAAATCCTTGTCTGCAAACTTTAAGAAAAACGGCTTCACAGGTGCTTTTAAAACTTTAACATCTTGTTCAGCTCACTTCATTCTAGATCTGATTAGGTTTTGGACCTGTTAGCTCAGTCATGTCAGCCATTTTGAATGTTTTAAGAAAAGTTGGCGCACGATAATACTTTGTATCATATTGAATGGTGTTTTTCAGTTTTCATACTTTAACTATTTAGTAGCTTTATAAATAATTTCAGGAGTACTTTGTTGTAAAAGCCTATGTTATTGTTAACAGTAGTAATATGTGATAAATTTGTAAAAAGTAATCAGCAAAAACTCATAATCGCTTTTTTATTGTCGGCCATTTTGGATTTTTTCCATCCTAAAATCTTGTCTGTAAAGTCTTGTCTACGCGTTTTCAGGTGAACCGTTTGGTAGATCAATTTCAAATTTTCAGGGATGATTCTTAGTATGAAAATCTAGATCTGATTAGTTTTTGGGCATTCTGGGTAAATGTCAAGGCAGCCATTTTGGATTTTCCATCCTAGAATCCTGTCTGTAAAATCTTGTCTACGCATTTTCAGGTGAACCGGTTGGTAGATCAATTTCAAATTTTCAGGGGTGGTTCTTAGTATGAAAATCTAGAACTGACTAAGTTTTTGGGCATTCTGGGTAAATGTCAAGGCAGCCATTTTGGATTTTCCGTCCTAAAATCTTGTCTGTAAGGTCTTGTCTACGCATTTCCAGGTGAACCGTTTGGTAGATCAATTTGAAATTTTCAGGAATGATTCTCAGTATGAAAATCTAGATCTGATTAATTTTTTGGCATTCTGGATAAATGCCAAGGCAGCCATTTTAGATTTTCCGTCTTAAAATCTTGCCAGTAAAGTCTTGTCTGCGCGTTTTTAAGTGAAGAACCGTTTATTAGATCAATTTCAAATTTTCAGGGATGATTCTTAGTATGAAAATCTAAATCTGATTAGTTGTTGGGCATTCTGGGTAAATGTCGAGGCAGCCATTTTGGATTTTCTGTCCTAAAATCTTGTCTGTAAAGTCTTGTCTACACATTTCCAGGTGAACTGTTTGGTAGATCAATTTCAAATTTTCAGGGATGATTCTTAGTATGAAAATCTAGATCTGATTAGTTTTTAGTTTTTGGGCATTCTGGGAAAATGTCAAGGCAGCCATTTTGGATTTTCCGTCTTAAAATCTTGCCCGTAAAGTCTTGTCTACGCGTTTTTAGGTGAACCGTTTGGTAGATCAATTTCAAATTTTCAGGGATGATTCTTAGTATGAAAAACTAGATCTGATTAGTTTTTATGCATTCTGGATGAATGTCGAGGCAGCCATTTTGGATTTTCTGTCTTAAAATCTTGCCCGTAAAGTCTTGTCTACGCGTTTTTAGGTGAACCGTTTGGTAGATCAATTTCAAATTTTCAGGGATGATTCTTAGTATGAAAATCTAGATCTGATTAGTTTTTGGGCATTCTGGGTAAATGTCAAGGCAGCCATTTTGGATTTTCTGTCCTAAAATCTTGTTTGTAAAGTCTTGTCTACGCACTTCCAGGTGAACCGTTTGGTAGATCAATTTCAAATTTTCAGGGATGATTCTTAGTATGAAAATCTAGAACAGATTAGTTTTTTGGCATTCTGGATAAATGTCAAGGCAGCCATTTTGGATTTTCTGTCCTCAAATCTTGTCTGTAAAGTCTTTTTTACATGTTTTCTGGTTAACTGTGTACGGATCAATTTCAAATTTTCAGGGGTGGTTCTTAGTATGAAAATCTAGAACTGACTAATTTTTTGGCATTCTGGGTAAATTTTAAGGTGGCCATTTTGGATTTTCCGTCCTCAAATTGTGTCGGTAAAGTCTTGTCTACTCATTTTTAGGATAACAATTTGACGGGATCACCCATAGGTGGGGACATTTTGTACACATTTGTGTTCTTGTCTCTACTTGCTATTACCATGTAAGACAGGGCACTTTTAAAACTGTTTCATTAATACTTATAATTTTCATGCCTTCATTATTTTTAAATGTTTTATGTCTCACTTCTCATCAATCATAAATTATAATATGTGATGCAATTCTCAAGTCAAATACCATTATCAAATTTTTACATGTATTTTTCATTATAAAATTTCAAGATGAATTAAACCGCTCTTAGAGTCAACACTAACTGGTACTGTCTATTTACATAAGTTTTGTTTTTCACATGTATATGTTTTCTATTTCTATGTTGTTTTTGTGTTTAAACTAAGAAACTTATTTTCAGACTGTATGTGAAGGAGTTGGGGGAATGTATAAAAAGTGGAGCAATCCAGGAAACCAGTGGACAATTAGCATGTACACAGATTTTAGATGTCATAGCTAAAGGTCAGTTTGTGCCATGTCTTTGTCTTTTGTTACCTCATGTCACGTTTTATTAAAATATGTCATATCTTGTTACCTTTTGCCATTTTTTGTTACCTCATATCATATTGTGCATGTCATATAGTGTTACTTTATGCCATGTCTTGTTACCTCATGTCATATGTCTTGTTACTTTATGTCTTATCATGTTACCATATTCCATATTTTGTTACCTCATGTCATATTTTGTTACTTAAAGTCATATTAGCGGACTTCAGTCAATCCTGTGTATATTGAAATGCATTTTGCCGAACCAATATTTGGATTTTCTGTTATCTCCCCAGGGCATCTTAGTTAACATCAGCACTGTATTGGTATACATTCTGCACATCAGTACTGTATTGGTATACATTCTGCACATCAGTACTGTATTGGTATACATTCTGCACATCAGAACTTTATTGGTATACATTCTGCACATCAGTACTGTATTGGTATACATTCTGCACATCAGTACTTTATTGGTATACATTCTGCACATCAGTACTGTATTGGTATACATTCTGCACATCAGCACTGTATTGGTATACATTCTGCACATCAGCACTGTATTGGTATACATTTTGCACATCAGTACTTTATTGGTATACATTCTGCACATCAGTACTGTATTGGTATACATTCTGCACATCGGTACTGTACATCACTGTTTCTGTCTAGAACATGCACATTCTTGTATATGTAGAATCCTCTCTGCGAATCTCTTAAATAGGTTGTCCTTTTTATCAAAATGTCTGTGGTTTGGCATTACATACTAACTACTAGTAAGCGTAGGATAATTAGAACATCCTATAATGTTTTCAGAATATCATTTTTCTCTACTCTGTGATATTGATAAATGCACTCGTTCGCTTCACTCTCTCGTGCAGATATCAATATCACCTCCTAGATAAAAATGATATTCCTCTAGATCATAGGATATCCTATAAATATTCATGAATCAATCAATTTTCATAGTTCATAAATGTTTTAAGTATAATTGAGTTCATGTACAAGGATACTATTTATTTCAACTTCCAAGAAAGTAGACTATAGTGTATACCATTAATGACTCTTATTCCTTCAAGTATTGTCCTTAAAACTATTTCAAGGTTTCTTAGTATTCATAATCCTTTCCAATTGCTTTTAGTAGAACTCTAGTAGAAGTTCCTTGTCGAGGCAATAGATATAAAAGAAAATGAAGTGATGATGGGATTTATCGGCTTTCTATGTGTCCGATATTCAGTCTTTTACAGCCAATAATCTAATTATTTTTCTGTGTTATATAATGGTCAATGATGTTTTTATTGACTGAAGGTAATCCTAGAAGAATCTTTATGAGGTCGATCCATTTTCTGAGTCTCCATAGATTATAGGTATCTTTATGTATAAGGAATTTATTTTTCTTCTCCGGGAGTGTTTCACTCGATTGAACCTTACCATTGAGTGATACTTATCATTCCCTTGAGTGAGCAAATCCCTCAAGTATTTCTCTGAAGTAAACATTTCCTTTTGAGTATGACTCTGGAGTGAGCCCCTCCCTAGCCTTGCCCAAGTCAGTCTCTTTTACTTATCTTGATTTCTATTATGACATTATTATTATGGTAATAATTCAAGATCAGATAAGTAAAAAAACGACTTGGGCAAGGCTAGCCCCTCCCTTGAGTAAGTTATTCCCTTAAATGAGCATTTCATTTGAGTGTTTCTCAAAAGTGAACTTTTCATTGGAGTATTCCACTTGAGTGAACCTTTCTGTCCAGGAAGATTTTCCGATTAGTGTTTCAATTTAGTGAGCCTTTCACTTGAGTATTTCCCTTGAATGAGCCCTAGCATGGTGGGAGAATTTTCCTTGTGAGAACCCTACATTTGAGTAAGTCTTTCCCATGTAGTTCTTCACCAGAATTATCATATCTCTTTGAATATTATTTGTGAGGCATGAATCCTGAGGTAAGAGGGCTGTTGAAAATATTTATGTCTGTTGAGAGGGATCGTTATTGTAAGGGTAGCTTAAGAAACTAAATTCCGCACATAATCCAATTCATTTACTGCTAGATGACCCCAACTGCCACACATTTTGGAACCAGTACTTTTAATAACAAGGATGATTCAACATGAGTCTGTTATCATGCTTCTTTACAACGTTTTGGTTTAATTTTTGTTATATTTAGAAATGAATCGGAACAAAAAACTAGGGGGATTTTGAAAACAGATTTTTGCCATTTAACCACATATCAAATGTGCTTACACGTAGAGTGAGAAACACATAAGTCTAAGCCTAAGAGATATTGTCGGGGTAGATTTACAAAACACATTAAAACCTTTTTGGAACACTTTTTGGACTGTCCAAAAGTGTTCAGTTTGGCAAGTGTTCGCATTTTGAGTTTTTAACATTGAAGTCTATTGCAGATTTTTAAGATATTGAACGGAAAATAGTGTCCACATCGAGAGGTGTTCAGATTAGAGAGGCGTTTGAATATACAGGTTTTACTGTATAGTAATCCGCTAAGGAATAAGTTTAATTGTATTTTCATAGCCAAGAAGAACATTGATGGACTGAAAACCTGTTTCGAAGACCTTCAAGTAGGATTAACTGAGCCTGCGGAAGAAGTAGATGAAGGTGATGAAGAAAAACTACTCGAAAAGTAAGATTGTCATTCTTGGTTTTACTTTATTGATTTCTCTTAGCATATTGTATTATAATAACGTGATGTGTAAATTCTGTGAATCACTGTCATACATAAATGCTTCTACAGAACGGTCTGTCATCACGTAATATCTGAGGTTGTTGACATATTTGTGTAATGAAGTCCAAAAGTAAATGTTTATATATGATTTGTATCAGTATTAGGAAACATAAGTAAGTAAAGTAACAAAGTTTCATTGAATACACAGTTTTACAGATTAAAACCTATCAGATCCCGGGATCAGATCCACAAGATCCTCTTCAGACTTTAGATCAATACAATAAAACATTAAAGACAAGACAGAATTAGAAGGAAACAAAGAACACAGTCCCCTGTAATTTGTGATAAATACATAAATGTAATTTGCAAAATGTCAGATTGAACCGCAAAATGACTTCGGCCATCGTGATAACTTAAGATTTGCAGAGTGTGTAGATAAACATGACATTGGAGGACTACTAGACATGAATGTTAAGCAAGATATGATGTACTGTGTTATTATAACCAGGCGAAAAGATCAAAATCACGGAGGCTTCTACATCAAAATTCTTGTGTTTACATGCACAACATCACAAATGTAGTTAATGCTTCTTAGAATGCTAATTTTATAGGAAATCCCATAACTGATAACTCTAAAAACTAACATCAATGTAGCGAACAGTATTTGGAATTTGTAAAAGCAATTCAAAATCCAAAGATGAAGGAGCTCTGTCATATAATTATATTAAATGTGTTTATTTTCAGTAAAATCAGAGCATCGACCAAGAACATCATAGACGTTGGTTTAGCATATTGAATCGCAGTGATAATGAGAGCTAATCTCTAGAACATGGAGTCTAAACCATTAAAGAACACCTACTTAATGTTAAACGAGAGCGTGAAGACATTTACAGACTATTAAATACAAGAAAAAAAGTCTTAATTATTTTAGTATGCTACCATTTAATATACAGCAGGGTTAAAACCTGGAGAAATGCAAAATGTGGTTCTCCTATACCATTTGGTATAATATTAACAATAACAAATGGTTTATGTAATCACAAACCTAAAAATGACTGTATATATTTACACTTTATATACAAATTCAAGTAAAATGAACACTGTATAGCGTATACTGTATATATATATAAGCACTCCTCGTAGACGGAGCAAAAATATGTATAGGAAGGAACATGAACTGTATTGCATTATAATATCTGACTAGTTGTCCTATACTATTAAACAGTATTGCTTGATTAAAGGTAGGAATTTTCCACTGTGTTTAATTGTGAAAGCTTTATCTCAAGTTTGGCTTTGTCTTTAAGAGCTTGTCTTAGTCTTGAGTTCAATTGCACCATTGCCTGCTTCCACATGTAAACTATCTCTTCTTTACTGACATTGTCCAGTTTTATACTTTCAATATCTTCTGTATCACTGTCGGACATTCCTGCTTCTACATTTTTTTGATTACTCGATATACTCTGCCTGAAATTTTGCTTAACTCTGTTATCCTTAAGTGGAAGAGTTTTCATACTCTCCGGGAGAGAGGAAGTCAAATTACGCCAGTTTCCACCACGGTCTTTTTTTGGAAGAAAATCAGTAGTTCGAGTATTTTTATTCATTGCATTACAAGCAAATATTTCCCCTGTTGGTGAGAGTATTAACACTCCATTTGGCACTTCTCCATTCGACATTGTCTCCTCCGCTTCTGAAGAGCTCCTGCCCAAGTTGTTGTGCACAGAATCGGGTGGAGAGCCACTACTTGCAGAGTTTATCTTGCGATACTCGAGTATCTTCGGTGGCTGTGCTACCTCCCTAATTGTCTGCTGTTTCTTTGAGCCTTTTCTTGATTTTACACTACTGCTTTGTACACTGCTGCGTCGTGATATGATATCACTTCCTGCCGATTCACTATATGCCAAGTTTGCGTGTGTGTTTGGGGAATACGATGTCTCATTCTCATTAGAGATTATACTTTCCCCATCCTCCGCGATCCACTCCGCCTCCCAGTCTGTTGGCCAATCATCTTCATGACCAAGATCATCCAAGATATTATTTATACTTGCTTCAGATTGTTCTCCTCTGAGAGCATTTTCAAAGTAACTATCTATTGCATTAATATTGCTTTCACTGATCGCACTCCCTGCCTCACTACCACTGATATTATCCAATGATTTTACACTGAGTTTCTTGAATTGGAACTCTTGTTGTATTTCCTGCATAGTTGGTCTTCGACGTTTCCCCTGGGCTTGCGTCAGTTCGACGGTTTGTTGCCAACGTAACTGGTCCACAAGGTTGAAGAAGTCATTCTTCCTTTTCACTACCGGGTTCTTATCTTTCTGAAATTGCATTCACATTTTTGTTTAATTTTATGTGAGAGAATATATGGAATCTAGAAACAATAATTTCAATATGCCACATAAACTGAATCTAAACCTGCTTTTGTAATGACACCATAAAAATTCACAGATTTGTGAAAATCAATTATTGTAAGCATTCTGGTTAGATGGATATATTGCAGTATGTTAAATATATAATCATCTTGTTTTGTATAATGCTAAAGAACAAACAAATATATACATACATTAATATCATGTAAAAACAAACTGTTTAGTTGTCTTACTTTTTTAACACTTTTCTGGAAAAGCTGGATGAATTGTCGTGACTTGAGTATTTGTCCCATCTCCTTGGCGGAATGGTTTGGAGAAACTAACTTCTCACTGGTGATTATGCGAAATAATCTCTGCAAGTAGAACATATGTAATGTTAAGGTAGTCAAAGTGTTATAGTACTAAGGAATAGTCAAGGTTAAAGTAGGCACACCTTGAAAATCCAGAAAATATGAATTTGCATTTTTGAAAATCCAGAAAAAATTCAAGTACTGGAATCTTATAACCTGATCAAAAGTACCAAATATAAGGTATGGAAATAACAGGAAATTTCATTGAGATAACTCTAGGAATCTGACTTTCGGATGTAGATGCGTACAAATAGTGTACTAACATATGCACAGAAGAGAATCAAGTTAATGAGTAAGATTTCTAATGCTGCTTAACGAATGGGAAATTATTTGTCTCTGTAATTTTTTGTACCAATATAAGCTTATTAAAAGTAAGATCAAAGAAAATTTAATTAAACATTCATGAAATATGTAGTTGATTGTCACTTTATACAATTTCATATTTTATAGTCAATGAAATTGAAAAGCAATAACTAGATATAGGGGTGTTTTTCTATTTATGTATCATATTGCTACAAATCGGCATTTGTGCGATGTATAATTTGTTCATCCATATCATACATGTAATATTCTATTGATCCAGAAATTCATGGCTAGAGTAATTCCTGGACAAAATAATCAATTACAATGCAAACGTCTCCTTTGAGGCCTTCGCTGTTTTTTTCCTATATTTTCTTTATGATTTTTGTAATAAAAATGTCAGAGTGTACATCATAAATATGCATTTATTGAGATAGCGCATTAGAATGTCACGGAGGGTCGCTCGTAATGCTGGATTACAAGATAGGAATGTTATGAATTGGCAGTCAAATGTCATCAATGCTAATACAACTAATTCCCAATGCGAAGGCATTTATTCCATATGAATCTTGAGTGACTTGCTTGCATCATTTTATTATGTCAGATGTAACTTCATCAGGACATTGGGTGCAAGTGAATGAGTGGGAGCAAGGGAGAGAGTTGGTGCAAGTTAGTGAGCTTGTGCAAGGGAGTCAGTGGGTGCAAGTTAGTGAGTGCTAAAATATCCATTTTTACAATTAAGATAAAATTGGTCAAATTATGCTTATATTCCATGATTTTCTCATCTTTATGTGAATGTTAATGGATTTTCAGAAGGGTGCAATCCTCTTTAGAAAAACCTCAGGTTTTAGTGCTGTGGAGACCACTGTAGTACAGTAGTAGTTCACCAGGCCTAAGTTTATGATTAGAGTTTACATTGTAATATTGAAAGAATAATGAGTGTGGTTTATTGTACAATTTTCCCAACAAGTTAATAAGCAATGTGCATGCAATGAATTACACTTGTCGTATAAATGAAAAATGCAGGTATTCTATTAATAATTTGCTTACTTAGTCATTAGAGAGAAATGAGCAGATAGTTGAAGTTCAAGTTCATTTCCAATTATTGTGGGACACTTATTGGCTATGTGTAATTCAGATATTGACTTAGGGATCTATGTCGAGGTTTATTATACCATATTGATTATATAGGTAATTGTCACATCTAATTGTATGAGTAGTTTATTCAAGTCAATGTATTGCCATTCACACGTAAAAGACCTATTAGTTTAGTTTGAGTTATTTTCTAATAAAAGACATATTTCTGCCATCTTGTCGAAAAAGAATTGAATATGCCAGAATCGTGATTTATTTCATACAAATTCGTTATACTCTAAGAGCGAGGAGGAAAATTCTTAATAAATGGAGTATAGTTGGTTTGGAAGCATTTTCAGTTAGAGGGAAGTCTTGGGTGAAAATTCTACCTAGGTGATAGCTTCACAGAGTGGTACATAATTCTTTTTTCTCAGGGGTTAGCCCCCACCCCCCAAAAACACCCCACCCCCGATAAATATTTTTTTCATTCTCAATAACTTTAGATATCTTGATGTTTGTAAGTTACATACAAAAACATTATATATATGAATCATTTGCAAAATAAATAATGCCAATCACTCCTACAGAATTTGAAAAATAGTACAAAGTATGTACCCCAGGGGGCAAATTCGTGACCCATTTTCTTACTATTTAGAGCCTCACTTTTCAACCAGACACTGGAAGACATTGGAAAATTTCATGTGAAGTGCCCAGTAGCAGGACTATAAGTCCTGAAAGGGTCAAACTAATTGAATCAGTAGGAGCTGAGAAAAAAAAATTGTTGATTTTTTGAAAATTTTGACATTTTTGAGAGGGGTGATTTTGTGCATGACTATAGCTGATGCCTATGGTTTCCAGATCTATCCCTCTTTGATGATAAATATGGTTTTGAAGTATGGAACTAAGATGTAAAAACTAATTAAAATGGGTTTTAAGGAAGTTTAGTGTTTTAAACAGGTTCAAAATTCGAAGAATTGTACAATATCAGGTCTGAATTTACGAATTTTAGGTAAGACCTTGGATGAGCCTTAGATTTTTTACATCTGTCCCCCTTTGATGATATTTATGGGTTTGTAGTGTGGAACAAAGATGTACAAAATAATTTAGATGGTTTTTAAGAAGATTAAAGGATTAATTTAAACAAGTTCAAAATTTGAAGAATTGTATAATATCAGGTCTGAATTTACGAATTTCAGGTAAGACCTTTGGTGAGCCGTATATTTTTCACATCTGTCCCTCTTTGATGATATGTATGGTTTTGTAGTGTGAAACTAATATGTAAGAAATAACTTAGATGGAGTTGAAGAAGGTTTAAGGATTTTAATGAGTCCAAAATTTGAAGAATTGTAAAATATCAGGTCTGAATTTACAAATTTATGGTATGACTTTGGATGACCCTTATGTTTTTATATCTGTCCCTCTTTGATGATATTTATGGTTTTATAGTAACGCACTAAGATGTAAATATAATTTAGATGAATTTTAAAAAGGTTTAACGACTTTTAACAAGTTCAAAATTTGAAAAATTGTATAATATCAGGTCTGAATTTACGAATTTCAGGTAAGACCTTTGGTGAGCCATATATTGTTTATATCTGTCCCTCTTTGATGATATGTATGGTTTTGTAGTGTGGAACTAAGATGTAAAAAAAACAATTAAGATGGATTTTAAGATGGTTTAAGGATTTTCACATGTTCAAAATCTTGGCGCATTGTACAATATTAGGTCTGCAATTAACACTAGATTTCAAGTATAACCTTGGTTGACTCTAAACATTTAGAAAAAATTGTTGACATGGGGTCCCTATTCTCATGGTGAAATATATGACTGTCAATCACTTGCCATAATGCACATGGATATGTCATTCCTTTTCATGTCTATTTGCTAAAAATCCCCAAAGTGTACACTTTATTTCAGGAAAACTGAAGATTTCTACAATAATGTATTATTTTTCCATAAGAATGGTTACCGTTCTTGTTATTTTGAGAGAATTTAAACATTTTTCACCCATTTTTGCTCTTTGAATCCATTATAACTTCATCAATTTTTAACACATCGTGAATCTTTTTGGAGATATTGTATTAGAGATTGTAAGGAATAGATTGGTACATGAATTGTACATGTTGCTTGTAATTTTGTCACATCCATAGATCTGATTCTGCCTTTAAACTTTACAAATCATGAATCTTTTTGGAAATATTATATTAGAGATTGTAAGGAATAGATTGGTACATGAATTGTACATGTTGCTTGTAATTTTGTCACATCCATAGATCTGATTCTGCCTTTAAACTTTACAAATCATGAATCTTTTTGGAAATATTGTATTAGAGACTGTAAGGAATAGATTGGTACATGAATTGTACATGTTGCTTGTAATTTTGTCACACCCATAGATCTGATTCTGCCTTTAAACTTAACAAATCATGAATCTTTTTGGAAATATTGTATTAGAGACTGTAAGGAATAGATTGGTACATGAATTGTACATGTTGCTTGTAATTTTGTCACACCCATAGATCTGATTCTGCCTTTAAACTTTACAAATCATGAATCTTTTTGGAAATATTATATTAGAGATTGTAAGGAATAGATTGGTACATGAATTGTACATGTTGCTTGTAATTTTGTCACACCCATAGATCTGATTCTGCCTTTAAACTTTACAAATCATGAATCTTTTTGGAAATATTGTATTAGAGACTGTAAGGAATAGATTGGTACATGAATTGTACATGTTGCTTGTAATTTTGTCACACCCATAGATCTGATTCTGCCTTTAAACTTAACAAATCATGAATCTTTTTGGAAATATTGTATTAGAGATTGTAAGGAATAGATTGGTACATGAATTGTACATGTTGCTTGTAATTTTGTCACACCAATAGATCTAATTCTGCCTTTAAACTTCCTTAAAACCCATCTAAATGTTTTACATCTTAGTTCCATACTACTAAACCATATATATCATCATAGAGAGATACATACCTGAAGTTCGTTAAAGTCAGAAGATATGATATTGTCCAATTTGTCAAGTTTTGAACAGGTTTTAAAACCTTAAACCTCCTTAAAACCCATCTAAATTATGTTTTACATCTTAGTTTCATACTACAAAACCATATATGTTATCATAGAGAGATATATGTAAAAAACGAATAAAAGCCATCCACAGTTATACCTAAAATTAATAAATTCCAGACCTGTTATTGTACAATTCTTCAATTTTTTAACTTGTTTAAACCTTTAGCTTCTTTAAAACCTTAAATTATGTTTAACATCTTAGTTCAACACTACTAAAGCATATATGTCATCAAAAAGGGATAGATGTAAAGAACACAAGGCTCGCCTTAATACCTAAAATTCATTAATATCAGCTCTGATATTGTACAATTTGTCAAAATTTAAACTTGTTTAAAACCTTAAACTTCCTTAAAACCCATCTTAATTATGTTTTACATATTAGCTCCATACTACAAAACCATATATATCATCATAGAGAGATACATACCTGAAATTCGTTAATGTCAGAAGATATGATATTGTACAATTTTTCAAGTTTTGAACAGGTTTTAAAACCTTAAACCTCCTTAAAACCCATCTTAATTATGTTTTACATATTAGCTCCATACTACAAAACCATATATGTTATCATAGAGAGATATATGTAAAAAACAAATAGGGGCCATCCAGAGTTATACCTAAAATTAATAAATTCCAGACCTGTTATTGTACAATTTTTCTTTTTTTAACTTGTTTAAACCTTAAACTTCTTTCAAACCTGTCTAAACTTTGTTTAACATCTTAGTTCAACACTACAAAAGCATATATGTCATCAAAATGGGATAGATGTAAAAAAACATAATACCTAAAATTCATTAATATCAGCTGTGATATTGTACAATTCATCAGAATTTGAACTTATTTAAAGCCCTAAACTTCTTTAAAACCCATCTTAATATCCCAGATGCGAGTAGAAATAATCTTGATTTACGTCATTAAAAATTCACAATTCAGTCAAACTGATGTCATATTTGGAATCTACATGTAAAATTACATCTAGAAATGTGGTTTTAAAAAGTGTTTATCAACTTTGAAAAATTAATTTTCTTTGAAAATGTGACTTCTAGGTCGGGGAGATTCCCCATAGAGCCCATGTTGTAAAACCACAAAAAGTGAAATATATTTTCTTGTGTTGGGCAGATAATATTTTCTTTTACTGGACATATTTGAATTTGCATAACTATTAGATACATAAAGGTAATATGAAAAGTGAACCATTAAAACTGATGCATATTCAAGTTTAAGGGAATTTTGCAATACCCTGCCATGTTAATTCCCCCGAATCAGCCACCTGGTGGCGAAACTGGTAACTGCCTACTCGCATCTGAGTAATTATGATTTACATATTAGCTCCATGCTACTAAACCATATATATCATCAAAAAAGGATAGATGTTAAAAATATAAGGGCCAAGCAAGGTTTTACTTTAAATTCATTAATTTCAGATCTGATATTGTACAATATGCTAAGATTTTGAACTTGTTTAAAACATTAAGCTTCTTTAAAACCGATTTAAATTATGTTATACATATTTCCACACAGCTAAACCAAATATATCAGGAAAAGGGGATAGGTGTTAAAATCATATGGGCTAACCAAAGTTATACTTGAAATTCATTCATTGCAGACCTGATATTGCACAATTCTTCAAATTAAAATCCTTAAACCTTCTTAAAATGCATCTAAATTATTTTTTACATCTTAGTTCCACACTACAAAACCATACATATCATCAAAGAGGGGCAGGTATAAAAAAAATATAAGGCTCATCCAAGGTCTTACCTAAAATTTGTAAATTCAGACCTGATATTGTACAATTCTTCAAATTTTGGACTTGTTAGAATCCTTGAACCTTCTTAAAATTCATCTAAACTATATTTTACATCTTAGTTCCACACTATAAAACTATAACTGTCATTAAAGAGAGACAGATGTAAAAAAAACAAAAGAGTCATCCAAGGTAATACCTATAATTTGAAAATTCGGACCTGATATTGTACAATTCTTTAAATTTTTGACTCATTAAAATCCCTAAACACTCTTCAAAACCATCTAAATCATTTTTTACATCTTAGTCCCACACTACAAAACAATACATATCATCAAAGAGTGACAGATGTAAAAACATAAGAGCCATCCAAGGTCTTACCTGAAATTCGTAAATTCAGACCTGATATTGTACAATTCTTCAAATTTTGAACTTGTTTAAACCCTTAAACCTTCTTAAAAACCATCTAAATTATTTTGTACATCTTAGTTTCACACTACAAACCCATAAATATCATCAAAGGGGGACAGATGTAAAAAATCTAAGGCTCATCCAAGGTCTTACCTAAAATTCGTAAATTCAGACCTGGTATTGTACAATTCTTCGAATTTTGAACTTGTTTAAAACACTAAACTTTCTTAAAACCCATTTTAATTAGTTTTTACATCTTAGTTCCATACTTCAAAACCATATTTATCATCAAAGAGGGATAGATCTGGAAACCATAGGCATCAGCTATAGTCATACACAAAATCACCCCTCTCAAAAATGTCAAATTTTTCAAAAAATCAACAATTTTTTTCTCAGCTCCTACTGATTCAATTAGTTTGACCCTTTCAGGGCTTATAGTCCTGCTACTGGGCACTTCACATGAAATTTTCCAATGTCTTCCAGTGTCTGGTTGAAAAGTGAGGCTCTAAATAGTAAGAAAATGGGTCACGAATTTGCCCCCTGGGGTACATACTTTGTACTATTTTTCAAATTCTGTAGGAGTGATTGGCATTATTTATTTTGCAAATGATTCATATATATAATGTCTATGTTTGTAACTTACAAACATCAAGATATCTAAAGTTATTGAGAATGAAAAAAATATTTACCGGGGGTGGGGTGTTTTTGGGGGGTGGGGGCTAACCCCTGAGAAAAAAGAATTATGTACCACTCTGTGAAGCTATCACCTAGGTAGAATTTTCACCCAAGACTTCCCTCTAACTGAAAATGCTTCCAAACCAACTATACTCCATTTATTAAGAATTTTCCTCCTCGCTCTTAGAGTATTATGAAATTCTGCATATATTTTGTTAAGGATGTTGATGCTTCATTCCTGTCATCTCTACAAAGCTTTATATGTGATTTGATCCCTTCAAAGCTGACATGACACTATTCCTACAAACCTTATCTGATCCAATACCTATAAAGCTTACATTACCCAATACTTACAAACCTTACATGACCCAATGTGTTCATAATAGCTTATATCACCCGAATTCCTACAAAGCTGATGTCATCATCCAATCCTACAAAGCTTATGTAACCTGATCCCTTCTAATGTTACATGACCCGATCCCTTCTAAGCTTACATGACCCGATCCCTTCTAAGGTTACATGATCAAATCCCTTCTTAGATAACATGACCAAATCCTTACAAATCTTACATGACCCAATCCCTTCTCAGCTTACATGACCCGATCCCTCCTAAGCTTACATGACCCGATCCCTTCTAAGCTTACATGACCCGATCCCTTCTAAGGTTACATGACCCGATCCTTTCTAAGCTTACATGATCAAATCCCTTCTTAGCTTACATGACCAAATCCCTACAAATCTTACATAACCTGATCCCTTATAAGACTACATGACCTGATCCCTTCTAAGGTTACATGACCCGATCCCTTCTAAGCTTACACGACCCGATCCCTTATAAGCTTACATGACCAAATCCCTACAAATCTTACATAACCCGATCCCTTATAAGACTACATGACCCGATCCCTTCTAGGCTTACATGATCAAATCCCTTATAAGCTTACATGACCAAATCCCTACAAATCTTACATAACCCGATCCCTTATAAGACTACATGACCCAGTCCCTTCTAGGCTTACATGACCAAATTCCTTTTAAGCTTATATGACCAAATCCCTTCTAAGCTTACATTACTAAATCCCTACAAAGCTTACATGACCCGATCCCTTCTCAGCTTACATGACCCAATCCCTACAAAGCTTACATGACCCAATCCCTACAAAGCTTACATGACCCAATCCCTACAAAGCTTACATGACCCAATCCCTACAAAGCTTACATGACCCAATCCCTACAAAGCTTACATGACCCAATCCCTACAAAGCTTACATGATCCAATCATTAAAAAACTTATGTAACCTGATTGCTACAAAGGTTACGTGACATGATTCTGATTTTATAAATGAATACTATTGCACTCAAGAGAGGAATTAAAAATAATAGCATGAGCATGTATATAAATCCATTACAATGTTAAACAGGGGCCAGATCAAGGCATACAGTGCTTGTGAACAATGAACAATAAATTACTAAGAATCAAGCATGTCCAAAATCTAATCTGTTCTTGATTCTCGTACTCTAGTCATGATAAAAAGCAAGTTTTTATGGGAAACACACTGAAAATTGAATGAACGACTAGAAGTTGATCCTGAACCTTAGTTTGCTAAGTATCTGAAAAACTGCTTCTTTGAAACAGTCCCCTTACACCTAATTGATACTTCATGATGAACATCCCTCTAATGCAGCTATTTAAATATTACCTGACTGATAAACATCATGTGAAGGCTCTTAAAGAAGCTTTTGGAGTTCCTCCTGCGGCACCAGGGGACGAACCACTTGAACAAGGCATATTCCATTGACAACAACATAATAAAGGAGAAGATGAGAGCACCCAGCAGTACATAGAATAAACCAGCAAAATGTGTTGGTTGTAGACCCTCTTGTTTCGCCCCCTCTCTGGCACATGCTCGTACATTGAAGTAGTGACGTCTGAGGTCCTCTATGTATCCACTTTCGTGGTAGTCTAATATCTTCTTAGACAACACTTCCTGTGAGCATATAGGTAAATATGCATGTTAGTTAGGGTGTTAGTACTTTAGGATAGTGTTTTCATTTTCTGAGTAAGTGTAAGATGGGAATAGCTTTGATCCCTTGTAGTGGCTATAATTATGTTATATAGTTTGGAATACAAGTATCTTATCAAAAAAATGGAAGAATAAAGGTGCATTCAAAATCATTTGATACACTAAGAAGGAAAATAATTTAAATTAAAGTTACAAATGAACTAAAAATGTATGTTTGGTTCACTCTTGTTCACTATACTATAAAACATATGTGTTGTATTGTAGGCTCACCTGAATCCATGAGTTTTTCTGTAGGCCTATTCCATAGCCATCATCCCCAAAGCCCTGCCCTACCATCTTTAGCTTACAGTCGTTGTCCATAGTGGCCCTGGCATACTCCAAAACAGGAGTATCATCGAGGTAAGCATCTATCTTACCAGTTCTACAATATGTTATTGAATTAATATACAGTTTAAAATACATGTACATTGTAATATTTCTATACAGAGTGAGGCATAATTTTACAAAGGTTGCCTTATAAGGGGATCGTTAACAGAATATTTTGTCAAAATATTTTGTTGGTATAAAAATATTTAGTTATTGATGCATTGTGTCAAATAACTGGGTACATACAATACAAGCATTTGTCTGTGTTAAGATTTAAGTTTATATAGTGTATAGATTCAAACTAAGCAATATTTAGCATAAAGATATTTTCTCTTGGAATGTTTTATGAGTTTTATGATAGTTACTTGGAGACCAATTATTTTAATTGTGACCTGCCTTCAAATAAACAACTTCATAAAACTGATATCTTAAAATATACCGGATTTCTTATTATATTGATAAATGGTAAAGCTTCAAATTCAATTCATAATGATAAAACAAGATACAGTAGCATTAAATATCGACAGTCAAACCTATATGTGTGAACATAAAAATCTTAACACTGAATTGCATACTATGATTCTGGATATTCCATTGTATACTGTATACCCAAAATTGTTTATTACAATGTATATATTCTAGTTTTTTTAAAAAGAATAGTATGTTTGAATGCTCTTCTTCATATTTTTTTTGCTTATCTATAATACTAGTATGTCAGCTGTTTTCGTTAGTGACAGATTTTCCTGATCTGTGTTGAAAGATTATTCAGATTAAGTTTTTTTTATTCAGCTTATGGTTAGTTGCTACCTCTTGGACATAAAACATATATTCAATTAAATATTTGGCATCGACTGATTTGATTAAATATATGACATGGACCAATTCAGTAGTTTATTGTTGAATGCTTTCCATGCCTATGGTCAACCTCCAAATGCAGGACTCCAGGCATCATCTACTCTGTTCCTTCCTTCTTGGAGTGCACTGTCGATGATATCTGGAGCTCTCTGTTTGGAGGATGGCCAAAGGTAGAAATCAACAAATATTTTCCAATAATATGATCTAATTTCAGGGTTCACAACTAAAGTTGAAAACGTGATTACCCCAATTTAATATATTTCCATCAATACATTGTCCAATAGGCAACTTGTTTTTTTCATTGGATTTCAACAGCCATCTTGCCAAGTTCATTGCCAGGGGTGAAAGGTGATTGCTGTTAACAGCCAGGCAGCTGTGAGTTGTTTCGAACCCCGCTAAATCATTTCATCCATCATCTAGTCTTCTTTTTTAATATCATTTTAATTTGAGATATCAAGAGTTACATTAATTCAATACAATATTGTTAACCGTGACAGTTAACACACATATGCTGACGTATTTATTGCTACTGGCATATTCAAGCGAGAATTCATAAAAGAATTGATTATTTGAATTTATTTCTAGACATAAGTTGACTCAGGCAACATGAACAATTGGATTAAAGGCATGTATTGGAAACACAAAAGTAACAGTTAGATAATTCGACAGCACAATCAATTGCAAACTCAATTGGTGTCTCTCCTTAGGAAATATTTCATGAATTGATTTTAGATGAGACTTTTATCAGGATTTGAACAAAAGGTAAAATGTTAAGATAAGAAAAGAGGTAAATATTAGATTGACATACATACTTGGATTGAGCATTGTTCAAAATGTTGGCTTAAGCAAGGGCAAAATTTTGAATTAAGGAGCAAAACTTTGTATTAAAATTGACAAAAACTTGGATTAAGTAAGGGGCAAAACTATGAGTTGAGCAAGGGGCAAAATTAGAAATAAACAAGGAGCAAAACTTGATTAAGCAAAGGGCAAAACTTGATTGAGCAAAGGACAAAACTTTTGATTAAGCAAGGGGTAAAACTGTGTATTAAACAAGGTGCAAAACCTTTGGATTAAGCAAGGGGTGAAACTTTGGATTTAAAGCAAGGGACAAAACTTTGGATTCAGCAAGGGACAAAACTTTGGATTCAGCAAGAGGTAAAACTTTGAATTAAGAAATGGGATAGCTGAATTATGTAAGCAAGGGGCAAAAGTTTGGATTGGGCAAGGGGTAAAACATTGAATTAAGAAATGTAACAAACTGAATTATGTAAGTATGGGGAAAAACTTTGGATTGACCAAGGACCAAAACTTTGGGTCAAGCAAGGGAGAAAACTATGGATTAAGCTAGGGGCATTACTTTGGATTGAGCATAGAGAAAAATTTGATTGAGCGAGGGAACAAGTTTTGATAAAGCAAGAGTCGAAGCTTTTTATCTGTTCAAAGATTGAAGCTCTATATTATTAACAAGGGGCACAAAATGTACTCTTACATGTAAGGGGAGATCAATAAGTTCTTCAAATTTGATTAAGTTACATTCTATCTGTTTTTGTACACTGCTTCAGTTTAAGGACTTCTATTATTGTGCATTCAGTCCTAAGAGTGCATGCTTTCATACTTTGTGACATTCACAGTGTTTATATTGAAAACACAAGATATGAATTCCGGCAATGCTTCTAGCACTATTAATCCATGATTACACCAAAGTTGCACTTTATTGGCGTTTTATTATTCATATATTGACAGAATTGCGCAATGTATTCATTAGTTTAGGGTTAATGTCTATGCATTGAAGTTTACCAGATGTAATAAATTGGGAAGAGGGTAAAATTGAAATGAAATTGATCACATTTGAGGAGGGGGTCAAATTGAAAAAGAGTTTTCACATTTGGGAGGGGATAAAATATTGAATGGAATTCATCACATTTGGGGATGGGGTCAATTTGAAATGCAAATTTGAAACAACCTCGAAATAATGAAATAATGGCCTGGATCCTAATGATTAGTTTACTTCATTGAAACTAACTGAAAACTCAATAAAGGCGGAAGTTATTGATGCCCAAAATCAGTGTCCTTATTAGTGTCCCTATATGCACCTTATAATGGCTTAATAATGCACCATGTTTCTGCCATTCGTCTGTTTGTTCATCCATTTATACATCTGTCCTTTTATGTCAGGTGATAAATCAAATACTGCCTGATTGACCCAGTTCAAATTTGATAGGCTGATACTGCCTGATAATGAGTTTTCGATATACAATTAGTGACACAAATCCTCTGCCTATGAAGAATTCCCAAGATGGCTGCTAAATTCAAAATGGCTGACAATTTTCATGGGAGGAAGGAGGAATTTTCAAAATGGCCACTGTTTTAAAGAAGAAATATCCAATAATGCAACTAACTACTTGTTATCAGATCTGGTCTAATTATATTTTTGTAACTATCATGGATATAGAACTTCTAATAAAGATAGAATTTCTAAAATGGTGTTATATGGTGTGTAGATTTTGATTTTGCAAAAAGGAAACAATATTGCATGGTTATTTCTATCGAATAATGTTCTCAATTATGAGTGATTGACAAAATTTATTTTGTTCATTGGGATTTGTTACTCTAGTGGGTTGCTGTTTTTTCTGTTATGAAGTGTAAAAATTGAAAATTAAAAAATAGAAAAACATTAGGTATAGGAATGAAAAAATGCATGTGGGGATTTTGAGAAAGCACATAAAGATCAACCAACATTAGAAAAGAAAAGCGAGAATAACATGAACTTGATGAAGGTCTATGGTAATATTTACAGAAGAGAGTAAACACATACGTTAATTTAGTTATAGAGTGCGAAGGTTCTAAGTCAGGATCAACCCGGATCAGTTTTGCGAACATCTCAGGATTCACATGCCTTACAAATTCCTCTACTGCCGAGCCTCGGTATGACAGAATTCTCATTTTATTTTGGAGAAGCTATTGAAATGGAAGATAGCAAGATGATTGAGTATGAATATAAGACACACTTGAGCCTATCAGGCTCTTCATCAAGGAATAAAGATCTGTACTCTTATTCCACAATGTAGAGCCCATGATATAAGATCAAGGTATATGGGTCATGGGTACCTATAGCTATACATTCCTTGCCTCAAACCAAATATTACAAGAGTTGTAGTCTCAACCCCACACTTGTAGAACCAAAATCAGAGACTTAACCCTGCATTGTATGAGAATGATGGAATCTAGCCATATTCCACTCTAAGCAAGGCAAGGGATCTATAGGTATAGTATGTGTGTTGTGATGTGTACATGTTAAGGCAAAGTGCTCAAACAGTGCATACAGTGCTGTCAAATATCCATCCTACAAGAGAAAACCATGCAAGATGCAGTCACAATAAGCCATCTGTTCTATAAACAGCACAAACATTTAGTTAGGAGAGTTATAGACAAACAATCTTCATACGCAGGCTCATATTTATAAGTCTGACAGGCAAGGAGTTGGCATTCGGTCATATTGAGGGTTGCTATTAGTCTTTCACCCAATTCGCCATTCCACAGAGTCGTTTGAATTGACATTTCTAAAATTGACAGTTACAGGAATTGATATATTGATATGCATAAATATTCTATCCCTGATCGGATTACTTTGATATGTTTCGTCATAGCAGAGCCGCAATGTCACAACGATGTGCAGAGAAGTTGAATGACTTCAGCTTTTGAATTGACCGCATTAGTTAACCCATTAGTGACAGATCATCATTATTCTGCAGAAGTAATGTCAGTACCTCTCATAAAGTCTTCTTGAGTAGTTTATTGATGGAAGAATAAAAAAAAAGATAAGATGCAAGAAGAAATTATTGTGATTTTTATTATAAAATATTCAAAACAAATCAGGATTCTTCACAAAAGTCAATAACCTTCTGGAGCTCATCTCAGATGGTAATTTGTTTAAAATATCTTAAGATGAGCTTTTGTTGTTATAAATATCTCATAAAAACAATGTTGTATCAAAGTACTGAATTTTGTCTCAGATAGTTTGCATTTACATGTATTAAATTGTTTGTGCATCTTAAATTTCTGTTGTGAGCATTGAGATTCAAACACTGAAAGTAAAACCCCAACATCCCAGCTTTTTCACTACTTTTTCCATGAATATATATTGAAAGTTTTTTTATTTTTAAATTATTAGCACAAGGGTTGCTAATATTCTGAACAAAACCATGTCAAATTTGTAATGATAAAATCACCTTTATCTATGTGTTATGAAAACGGATCTCAAATCAAGCCTAAATAAATGTCCTGGCCATATTCATATCACCGACAAGCAATCTTCTATTTCACTTGGGACTTCTGTGATAGGCATTGCTGCATAGCAATACAAAGAGTCTTGTCGGGATCGACTTGATTGAACGTTTATTTATCAGACACATAAAAAGACTCTGAGTAATGTCTTAACCGAAGCCCCTAAAGGCAGTTGATTTCCTCAACTTTTCAATACTTGGTTACTATCCCAAGGCTTGTTTCTTTAACCATTGTATTTCAAAATTACTGGAATTCTTCCACAATGCTACTTGGCATTCAGTCATGTAATTGGAATTTCACCAATTGATTTCTATGATATTTGTACAATGTTCGACTCTTGGACTCTTCATGTCCACATTCAACTTGATTCAAATTAGTTGGAGCTGCATGCGATTTGGTGAAATTGAAATTATATAAAAATTAATCAAATATATTTTAGGTTAATTTTAACTTTGAAAATATTTATGAATATTTTGAAACTCAGTTCTCTCTATGTATACTTCTGATTCAATATAACTCTGAGACAATGTGGCGGGTCTGTAGAGGGTATTGATAAATTGTTTATTTGTGATATCACCACAGTTGGTGGATCAATGCTATTTAATTAAAATACTTTGTGGAAACAGACCTGTTTGCTAAATGGATACAGAGAAAATGTACAAACAGAAATTGAAATATTGACCAAATTGGCCTTCTATTTAAATATGGATAATGTTGCCTCTGAGAATTATTGACAATATTTTCATTTTTATTCCCATTAGGGAACCTATTTATTCCATGCATGTTATTAGACTTACATGGTTATGCTAGGCTATTATAGATTATTTCATCTAGATTCTGATTGAAAGATATGTTTTCAAATGTTGCCTTTGGTGTTGTACTATTATTAACCCATTAATAACATATGGTTGAATGTGGTTTGAAGAGAATTGGTTTCATATTTCAAGAGAATTGGCTTCATATTTCATGTGTCAAAGTAGGATAATAGTTTTTATGGTTGATAAATGAACTCAGGTACACTTTCGAAAGTTGCCTAGTCTACTTTGGCAATAGTATACCCTTGCAACAGTTTACTTTGGCAATAGTATACCCTTGGAATAGTCTTCTTTGACAATAGTCTTCTTTGACAATAGTATACTCTTGCAACAGTCTACTTTGGCAATAGTATACCCTTGGAAAAGTCTTCTTTGACAATAGTATACCCTTGAAATAGTCTACTTTGGCAAGTAGACTTGCTAAATAATTTGAATAATGGACTTGAATAATGGATTTTGACTATGCAATTCAATATATGCAAAGCCATTGGTAAATATATTTCTGATACATATTTTAAATAAAATTGCTTAGTAATATATTTGGAATTAAAACATAAAGCCGAATGGGTATCGAAGTCATACAAAAAGTGCACACGTTAAAGTTTCTGTTCATATCAGATTTCTGAAATACTACTTATTAGATATTGTGTTACCTTGACCAGAATAATTTCAGGCAAAATTAACTGTTTATCTGGAATGCCATTCACAGTCTACGCACGCGAGAATGTGTATCCAAAAGATAACGAGAAATATGAAATTACACATAAATTCTGTTTCCAATGTGGGTGAGATAACTCCTCTTATTAATCAAATATACACAAGAGAAGTAATGGGTTATGATACACTTGCAAACACATTTTATAGATCTTTAATTAGACGTACTATGATGAAGGTGATTATGAAATAACATGTATATTAAAATTACTAAGCTTAATGTCATTATTATTAGAAGCCAACAAGTCTTATATTATCGAAGCCTACACGACTTTCACATCTATTGTTACACAATAGCAATTCTCAATAAGGAAGAATGCCAAATTTGCCCATCAATAATGTGTATAGAGATATATCAATAATCTGTTTGGAGACACATAAAGAATGTGTCTTCAGACACATCAAGAATCGCTTGGGAGACACATAAAGAATGTGTCTGGAGATTATCAAGAATATGTCTTGGCATATTTCGAGAATGATTTGTTTGTAGACACATCAAGAATGTGTTTGGAGACACATCAAGAATATGTTTGGAGACACATCAAGAATGTGTTTAGAGGCACAGCAAGAATGTTTCTGGAGATAGAGGGAATATCTAGATGAGATCAATCATGAATATCACTCCCTAGGGCAGTGTAAGAACAATGTCAGAACATAACTTCCCAACTAACGACCCCAGGGGGACATATAGAAATATGACAAAACACGCAAAAGCCATCATCTCATGGAAAATGCAGAGGTCAATGTGGACATACTTCAGTGCTTGGACACCCTCCATTGTGCTGGGCTGTTGGTTCTTCACTGTATGCTCATACAGTGGAGGGTTGAGTAACTTGATATAACTCTGTACTGAGCTGCTAGCCAAAGATCCAACACGATCATCAAATAACTAAATAAAAATAATATGAGAGAGATTAATATCACGAGGGAGTAGTATTCTGCTAAGGTCTCTGGTAATCCATCACTGGCTTGTTGCAGCGCCTCTTCGTGCAATGCAATATTAATGGCATGATTAATTCTGCTAGATGCTCTGTTATCTGGTTATACATACTGCACCTTGGCATCTGCTTAGCTCCGCATTGTGCAGCTCTATAGTGTACAATCAATAGGCTGTAAAATGAAGTATTCACATTGAGAAGTCTGTCATTACTGGTTATTATTTATCAACACTTTTCATCTTTCACCTTGCTGTTAAATCTAAATGTTACTTTGATGACAAGTATACAATATTGATCAGGATGGGACGTTATTTATTCTTGAATCCTAGAAATAAAGCACGTTTTAATGAGACAGTCAGAAGTAGATTGATTTTTTCTTTTTAGCAATTAGTATAAAACAATACACTTCTAATGGTGTTAGCGAGCTTAAGTAAAGTCAACGTGGAAACTGAATTATATTATATATTCCCATTGAAGCAACGTGGTGGTCTTCGGCTGCTATTCCATGGCTATTACTTATGTAATTACCAGAACATATTAAAGTAAAATCAAAAGAATTCTCAATAACGAGTAGCATAAATAATGCAATCATGTCATGAAACCTTGGCATTAACATCATGCTAGCTTTGAGAGTGTTGTTCTCTTACCTTTGGATCGTGTATACCACTGATCAGAAGAGCCTCGTTCTTTCCAGCAATAAAGGCCGCCAGGTTAGCTGTGTAGCTAGCGAAGATAAAAATTGATGAAGCAGCCCAAAAATTTTGGAACCATTTACACGGCCAGGATTTAGGACTTTTAGTTTTTACTGTGTGGCCAAAGAGAATTGCATAGACCATATTAAGTGCTGATGCCAGCGTGTAGTTTTTGGCGCGTTTTCTGCCCCAAGGGTTAAGTCCAAAAGGACTGTTCCATTCAAACAATGCCATAGCAATAGCAGTAACAGTAGCAGACACTGCTATACAGATCCACACACTTTCATCAAATGGTTGAGAAAAGGCATTATAATCAACTTCCTTCTTTTTCTCTGCAGCCAAAATTGAGAAGCCAGAGTGAAAGTATGGTTCAGTGTAGTCAATAACAGCACTTCGGCTGCCTGTTATACTGAAAGCAGCCATAGCCATTTGGGCAGCTCCACTTTTCAAATCAGCCACTAGTCCATTCCAGGAACCATTTACTATTGCTCCATACATGCCATCCCCTACTATGTATAAATCATAGTCAAACTCCAAGTCTCTGGAGAGTCGCTCTAGAATATCAATAGATAACCCTTCACAGCATTTAATCTCATAGGGCCTGGATGGGGATATTGTTCCATTTGCATAGTCATCGAATATAGCATCGAGAGTTGTGACATCACGTGTGCCATTAACATCCAAACAAGGGACGGTTGACACACATGACTTATCCTCCTTATATGGTGTAAAGGCTCTCACGAATGGCTCAACAATATTAGTCACAACACGATATTTCTTCTTTCCTCGTGATAGAGGACCTGATACTGTATTCCCTGGCCACACTATGGTTGTAACATTTACAATGTCATTATGAACTGAGCCTATTTTTCTCCATTTTTGACTACCATAAATGGAGACAAGATTTATGATGCTGAAATTTGCCTGCTCCCTATAACCCTGTTCATTGAAGGATAAAGGCCCGCCTTTTCCTTTGTAGTTGATTTGAAGAAGTGAACTGAAACAATGAAAAGGATATCATTAAAAGGATGACTTAAAGGATAGCCTGAAAAAAGATAATGGAAAGGATAACATGGCAAAACTATGCAATTTCAAAATATAAAATTCTTCAATCCCTCGGAAAATTCACTTTATTAATGATTACTAATAAGTGCTTAATAAATGCTAACACAAAGGATAACATTGAAATGCTAACACAAAGGATAACATTAAAATGATAATACAGAGCATAACATCAAAACAAAACAAAATGAGGCAGAATGGTATATACAGTATAAGAATTGCTATAAAATGAATCGGTATAAGTGCAACTATTTCCAGTAAGTGCAATCAAATTAACTGCTTATATCATCTAGGAGAAACCACATAACATACCTTCATTAGTAATTGCAATATAGTTATTTTAACACCTTTTAATCGCAGAAAATAGAACCCTGTTACTTTTAAAAGGGATTTATTCTAACTATGAACGCATATCTTGAATCACCATTAGCTAATAACTCTAGAATGATTTTAATTCATAATGATTTATAACTTACACAATCAACAGAATGCGACATAGATATATTCTTGTTTATATTCATTGACGCTTTGACAAAATTGAAAGTGAACTAATTGCCATTTGATATTATATTATGTTATGGATAAGCTATGAGTACTGGGTTTTACGAGAAATAATAGCCGAGGGCCTTGTTTGGGTGATCAAGGAATTATATATTAATTGAAACTTAAAGACTGTCAATGGTTAATGAAGTCATGTGAACCTTTTGATATTTTCTCATGTGAATGAGAGTTGCATTTTGACTCTCTACCATGCAGAGAACCCAAATAATGATGAAGTTAATGATGATGCTCAAGCTATGATCACATTTTACTTTCTTGATGCTTACAGAAGTCTGAATGTAGTATAGTCTTACTAAGGGCAGGCCAAGAAATTGAAAATTAGGGTACCCTTTTTAAAGAAACTATGCCCATTTTCCATGTAAAAATGAAATCCAAATGGTCCCTCTTCCCCCAGTGTCGCCCTCATTTCTTAACATGAACTAACACAGACAATTCAAATATTTAAACAATGATTATCTTCTTAATGTCAGTTCTATTTTAGTGTTTGTTTCTGTAATGTTTCCTGGAAACTAATGATTTTACCATTTATGTCTTTAAGGGTTTGAATTAAACAATTGATGTTATATTTTTGTTATTACTGCATTGTAATTTTTCTGAGTCTATCGCACATGCGATATACGCAACTGACATTGTTTTCAGTTGAATCTAATCATTATTAATCTGATTATTTCCTTCCATTGGCTTCCCCTTTAAGAATGTATATCTGATATATTTCTACAACAAACATTAACTAAATAATTAGAATTGATTACTTTCCTTCCTTAACAGTTACATTTAATCATATTCAGGCAATTGTGCACATTCACTTTCTGAACAAATTCACATATTTAAATTGCATAATTGTAATCACAAATAACAAATTCTAAAATTATTTATCAATTATTAGAATGATTCACTTCTAGTTGCTCATGTGTTTTTAGTTTCTTTTACAATTACTCTGTCTATCATTGTGGTATAATTGCACTAGCTACAATTACTCTGTCTACCATTGTGTTACAATTGCACTAGCTACAATTACTCTGTCTATCAATGTGGTACAATTGCACTAGCTACTATACTCTTTCTATCATTGTGGTACAATTGCACTAGCTACAATTACTCTGTCTATCATTGTGGTACAATTGCACTAGCTACAATTACTCTGTCTATCAATGTGGTACAATTGCACTAGCTACAATTACTGTCTATTATTGTGGTGCAATTGCACTAGCTACAATTACTCTGTCTATCATTGTGGTACAATTGCACTAGCTACAATTACTCTCTCTATCAATGTGGTGCAATTGCACTAGCTACAATACTCTGTGTATCATTGTGGTACAATTGCACTAGCTACAATTACTCTATCTATTATTGTGGTACAATTGCACTAGCTAGCTACAATTACTCTGTCTATCAATGTGGTACAGTTGCACTAGCTACAATACTCTGTATATCATTGTGGTACAATTGCACTAGCTACAATTACTCTGTCTATTATTGTGGTACAATTGCACTAGCTACAATTACTGTCTATCATTGTGGTACAATTGCACTTGTACAATTACTCTGTCTATCATTGTGGTACAATTGCACTAGCTACAATTTCTTTTTCTATCATTGTGGTGCAATTGCACTAGCTACAATTACTCTGTCTATCATTGTGGTACAATTGCACTAGCTACAATTACTCTGTCTATCATTGTGGTGCAATTGCACTAGTTACAATTATTCTGTCTATCATTGTGGTACAATTGCACTAGTACAATTACTCTATCTATCATTGTGGTGCAATTGCACTAGCTACAATACTCTGACTATCATTGTGGTGCAATTGCACTAGTTACAATTACTCTGTCTATCATTGTGGTACAATTGCACTAGTACAATTACTCTGTCTATCATTGTGGTGCAATTGCACTAGCTACAATTACTCTGTCTTTCATTGTGGTACAATTGCACTTCGTTATCATTTCTTGACTCACAAATCTGTCTTTATATACAAACAATTCCAATCTGTAATTGTGTAAAAATTAATTGAATATTAGAAGGATCATTAACTTACAAAAAGTGGCCTGATGGTTTGTAAATGTCAATTTAAATAAAATAATTGAATTTTATGATGGCGCTTGTGGTACTTCTTTTATTTGCAACCAAAAATAAGATGCACTTTAGTTTGACATGAAGTTCTTTGATCATTGTGGCCCATAATTCTGTAGAGTTATTTTTCAGATTAAGATGCCTTTTAATTCTTATTGATTCAGGAAATATGACATTTTATCAAAATAGCTCAATGTCAACACAACCTTTTATATAAAATTAATCATGGCGTACACTTCACTGATATCAAATATGTCTTCTTGTTTTGATTTATGTTTATTAAATGGCAGCGGAGAATAGAATATTTAAAATGGTGGAAACAATATTTACAATAGACGTGCCAATAATGTTAGCTTACGATTCTCATTTTATTAGCTGAACAAGGCATTGAGAATGAGATGTCTGATGAAATAGATATTTTTGTGAGACAGAATGTGGAGAAGAAATGTGATTATGTTTCAGAGATAAATGAATACAAGTGATGAAAAGAATACTACTTTGTAATAGATTACAAATGTACAGAAATATAAATACAAAACATAAAATAGGATAACACAAGACAAAGCGAAATAATACAGGGAATGCTGTGAGCAAAAATTCTCAAAAATTGAGACATTTTAAAAGTACCAATAGCTCGTTCCTAGCTATCCCTTGTTATACATTTAGTATTAAGATTTACCTGTAGAGTGTGTTTGAAATAGACCTAGCCTTGGGGCCAGGTGTTCTCCAACAAGACTGTGTTGCAGAGATATCTTCTATAATATGTGCATAGTTGGGAGTGATGAAAGCAAGCTTGTTACTTGCTAGCAAAAATACATGAAGTAAATCATCAAGAATATTATTTGTGTTCTTATCAAAAACGATTGCAACAAGCCCAACTGGGTAAGCATGTGGTTTCCATTGATGTATTGCAACATCTGTTGTAACCCATGCATTCCCTTCTCCCATTAGGCTATCTGCGCCTCCACCGACAGTGGCTGCTAACTCAAAGATACGTCTAGCTAATTTCTCCGAACAATGGAGTATATGAATCCGTGCCTCGCTATCATGTAGTATGTTGAGTTTACCAACTATTGAATCATCGTCTTCATTCATATTGATCCTCACATCATTAGCTAATGTCCAACGAGTGTCCAGCCCCATTGTCTGCTTAATTGAGCGTTCAAAGCCATCCGTTGCATAACTTTCCTCTAGGACGAGGGAAATGGTCATCCAATCACTCTCATTGAGAGTGGCGAGGACCGCTCTGGCCAGGACTGCTCTGGATGGCTCCAGTTGGAGGTAAAGATGTGCATTGTCCTGGAATCAGAAAAGTAATAAGACATGTTATCTTCACATGAACAGAGTATTGTTTTGGATCATTTATTTTTAATTATCCCATCGAACAAAGTTCGGAGGGATATAGGGAACGCCTCCGTCCGTCCATACGTACGTACGTACTTCTGTACGTACGTCCGGGCAATAACTCAAATACCATTGGCCCGATTTTTTTCATATTTTGTACACATATACCCTATGGGGGTAGAAGTTTTGCTCGAAAGCCGATTTTCAAAATGGCCGCTCATTTAAAAATGGCGGCCATTTTAGTGCCGATTTTACAGTAATTTAGGTGCATTATGTAAAACTAATAGCAATATGTTTTAAATGTAAAAAAATTATATAGGACATTAATGAAGCTAGAAATGTAGATATGAAAAAAGCACATGGCAGCCATCGTGAAAAATGGCGGCCTTTACTCGTTATTTTATGATTTTTGCTGTAACTCGAAAAGTAGTGGAGCGATTTTGTTCATATTTGGTATGTGAATACTATAAGCATGGCACACTGTCTAATGACACTTTTGGTAGAAGGCGGCCATTTTGAAAAATGGCGGACATTTTTCAAAATGGCCGCCATTTTTAACTTATTTTACTAAAACTCGAAAAGTAGTGGAGCGATTTTGTTCATATTTGGTATGTGAATATGTATAAGCATGGCACACTGTCTTATGACACTTTTGGTAGAGGGCGGTCATTTTTCAAAATGGCCGCCATTTTAACGTATTTTACTATAACTCGAAAAGTAGTGGAGTGATTTTGTTCATATTCGGTATGTGAATACTGTAAGCATGGCACACTGTCTAATGACACTTTTGGTAGAAGGTGGCCATTTTGAAAAATGGCGGACATTTTTCAAAATGGCTGCCATTTTAACTTATTTTACTATAACTCGAATAGTAATGGAGCGATTTTGTTCATATCGGTACGTGAATACGTATAAGCATGGCACACTGTCTAATGACACTTTTGGTAGAAGGCGGCCATTTTGAAAAATGGCCGTCATTTTAACGTATTTTACTGTAACTCAAAAAGTAGTGGAGCAATTTTGTTCATATTTGGTATGTGAATACTATAAGCATGGCACACTGTCTAATGAGACTTTTGGTAGAAGGCGGCCATTTTTCAAAATGGCCACCATTTTAACGTGTTTTACTATAACTCGAAAAGTTGTAGAGCGATTTTGTTCATATTTGGTATGTGAATATTATAAGGATGGCACACTGTCTAATGACACTTTTGGTAGAAGGTGCCCCTTTTGAAAGATGTTCGATGGGATTCGCTACGCTTTGGCGTTGCCGTTGTTCTGGTTTGTAAATAGTTTAGAGGGGTTTCGTTTATTATGCATTTTGTAATGTTGCCAGTTGTGCTAATTTGCAGATTTGAGTCTTGTTTAATAATTGAAATGTTGTTGGTTAATAAGATGAAATAACACAAATGGCATCTTTGTACAACAGTAAAACTTTAAATATCATGTTTTCCGCATTCAAAATATCAAATATTTCTGGTACAGATTAAGAATAAGCTTAGAAATCAATTTCAATTCACAAAGACAGGATTTCTTTAATCAGCCAGGAGTGCAAATCTCAAGAGTTTTAATTAACCTGATTTGCAACTAATATCAATGGCAAAACTTTTAAACAGAAAATTAAATATTCAAATTACAGGCTCAAATTTAAGTTCATACCCAAAATTCACATCCCTAATATCATCGCACACCTCTTATACTTATTGATAAAACAAAATACATTCTTGTTTCAATATTCTAAGATGAGGAAAGCGGCTTATTCCAAATGACATCATTCTAAGCCACACCTTCGTAATCTCTTCTAAATTCGTATGTCACAAATATGGAATGAGCAACAGGATGTGAACTCTGATAATAACCTAGTTGTAAATCATTTTTCTAAGAACATTGCACCCTTATTAGTAAACCCAAATGAGACAGATAAACATGCTCCAGTATGTCATACTGACTGTGTAAACACCATGAAGCAATAAATTGTACAATTAGCAGGTGCAACTGGATCATTTTTAGGAAATTAACAAATGAAAATCATCTTTTCAGTAAGATTTGTTATAAATTGTGAAGGATTGTGTTGATTTTCTTTGCCTAGACAATCAAGATATCTACAGTGATGTCTTCTTAATTCCTCTATATAATGTCACCTTAATGTCTAAATACCAAGATACTGTAGATTGGGTTAATTTGGCGCCCGCTTTAATTTGGCGAATTTGGCGAAATTGAAAAATTCGCCAATATAAATCTTCGCCAAAATTTAGAATGAATCCCCGGGAATTATCTAGGGTATTTCGTCGAGTGTATTTAGGTCACTTCCGGTTTAGTTTTTTCCAAAATATATGAAAAAATGTCTCTCATAAATTGGCTCAGAACTGGTCAGTCACTTATTAATACTCAGGGAAAAACTAGAAAGGAAAAGTACAGTAAGTATAGTAGCAGCATCAATCGAGGTGCAAAATGTAAAGGATGATCTCACAAAAATGTACAAACGTGGTGAATATTGCCAGTTGTCCTCAAAAGAAAAAATGAACATAAAATTCGCAAACAACGCGTGAGTTAATTAAAAATTTTTTTGCATATCCGCCAAATTAAATAGCCGCCAATATGCCAAAAATGGCAAAATCGCCAAATTAAGTAGCGCCAAATTAACCCAATCTACAGTAACATATTACACCTAATATGTTCATCTTATGTAGCACAAAGAATAAACAGTGTGAAATGTTGAAAGCAATATGACCCTACGAATTACTTGTATAATGATAAAGAACAAAGAATAAAAATTAGACAACAATTCAAGTCCCTATAAGTCATGTTAACTTAAAGTGACAGCAGTCGCTATAAGCCATGTGAACTCAAAGTGGGAGCAGCCCCTATAAGCAATGTGAACTTAAGGTGGCAGCAGCCCCTATAAAGCCATATGAATTTAAAGTGGCAACAGTCCCTATAAGCCATGTAAACTCAAAGTGGCAGCAGTCGCTATAAGCCATATGAATTTAAAGTGGCAACAGTCCCTATAAGCCATGTAAACTCAAAGTGGCAGCAGCCCCTATAAGCCATTTGAATTTAAAGTGGCATGAAAGGATATAGAGGCATCTTATCAAATATGGAAGTAACTGGAGATTTTAGAAACAGACAAATCAAATTCATCTTACAAATATGAAATAATTGCGTCATTGCATGAAGATAGTTTTGGCCATTATTGCAATGTCATATGAAGGTCAAAATGCCATATGAAATGTCAAACTTGAACCTGTGTTCCATATAAGGACATTGCATTGTGATGTCATGTAGGTGTTAATCGCAAGCTTGAAGCTTGCTGCCCGTGGTGCGATTGTTGCCAAAACGTCGTACTGATAAATGCCTTTAAAATGAATACTACCTTGGACTGACCTTAAACGTGATGTACCTCTAGATAAGAAATTGATAGTCCCGTCAGGATACCAATTGTAACATTTTGATTAAAACCAACGTAGCGTGCCGTTTAACTTCTATAATGATTTGACTTGGGATTTCAAAAGTGCTGAATCCTTCATATTATTTTTCTGGTGACGTGTTATTGTTGATAGCATTATCTAAATCGATGATTAGATGGTTATTTACACTCATTGATCTCAATTTCACGAATATATGTTGTTTTTCCTCTACCGCGATTCGTATATGGGCTGATATATTGGCCTCTAGGTGCGGTTTACAGCTCGTTTAGAGACCTTGGTACACACAAACAAAAATACAATTACCAAAGATTGGTTTCTGGTAACTAAAGAGCGGATCAATTTCCAAATGGCTTCCAGAATCGCTTCTATCTTCAGAGATATTACAATATCTTAACAGAATTTAACACGACTATAAACCGGACTTGGCATTTTGTGCTCTTAAAGAATGTAATACAAGTTTTATGTGCTCTTCTGTGCGATTCGTCCTTGTACGACAACTTATCAATTGTGCAAATGAAGATGTTTAATGAATAAAATAGCAATTGAAAATAATAATTCCCCTTGCATCATTTTCATGCGCATTGCAAGAGACACTGTCCACGATGAGTCTCAATGTACTTTATCCGTATCCAAGACTATTTATATTTTTTTAGATGCTAAATATTAATACGATACCTGAGGGAAATTTGTGTCCAAAGATTATTGTGTTATTATATTGAGTCTAGCAAAGACCGAGGGTGTAACGATTTCTTAAGGGGAGTGGTGTTACAGTGCTATTAAATCTTGAGAATGACTTTTGCGTTGACCTTTCAATCATTTATATACGTATTAACGACATAAACGATTCAGTAAGGAAGGAAGGGAAGTGTCTTAATAATCAAATAATACAGTAATATAGGTTCTGGACTGAGAGCACGATTTTTGTGATCAAATATCTTAAAATCTTGACTAAATTCAATCAAAACAGTAATTGTGTCAGTTAAACAAATAGAACATTAGTAAAATCTGAAAACGATTCTTACTGCAAATATTGGCATAAACTTCTATAGGCTTTTATTCCAAGCCAGCTATAAGTCTAGATGACCCGGCTGTCATAAAAAGATGTGGCTCCATAACTAAAATTGACGCATCAGTAGTTAATGTTGGGGAATCGGAACCATTTAGTAAATAAGACGACTTGAATCGATGAACTCGAGATATAAAAGCCTAGAAAATGGATATAAAGTATATCTTAAGAGCACTTAATGGTATTAACAGTAACAAAAATAATATTTTAAATCATTTTCAGTATCCATAAAATACAGGAGCTCATCTGACGTCATAGGAAACTGCACTGGACGACATGAAGAATGAAAGATGAATAAATTGTACCAGATCTGATAAAGCAATGAGCAATAGATTATTATATATTAACAATAGCTGTTTCTGTGTTGAGGTATTGTTCAACATCCCGTTTATTTATGGCTTAAGATCAGTTTACTAAACGAATGAGTCTAGTTCAGTACTATGATGTTACCTGTTTTTTTG